ATGCCGGACTTGCCCAGCTTCGAGCACGAGGTCGAACCACAGGCTGTGGCCCGACTCCCCGAAGTCGAACTTGGACGAGCTTATCCAAGTTGAGCTTTGTCACATGCAACAATTACGCAGCCTATCGCAAACTCCTGTCTTTCTCTCTCTCTTTCTCTGTCTCTCTCTCTCTCTCTGACCTTGTCGCAGGAGCAGGAGTTCGCTTCGCCACCACCGCCTCCAAAAGTGCCGCCGATGCCTCCGCCACCACTTCCCACCCAGCTTGGGCCCTTGTCGTGGAAGGGAGTTGCACAATGTTGCACATGCTGAATGCGGCAAGAAGCAGGCGCTCGCTACCACGACAGTTGGTGCAGACCGGCGGTTCACGAGCTGAGCCGAAGGACGATTGAGATTTATGCCCTTGTATGCACACGCAGTCTTTCGTACAATGCACGATTTGGCAGGATGCTGGCAGAAGAGACAAACCGCAGGACTTGTAGAATTGCAGACCTCTCGCCTTCGTCACGTGTTCGTGCAAGCTTGCAGGAGTTCTTCGCTCTCCCTGCAGAGGACAGGGAGGGAGAGCCGCGGCCACTCACATGGGAAGAGGTACGTATCACTGCAGCACTTGTCATGCCTTCACTAATCAACGGCCGTGGTCGTCAGGCACTGGTAGACTTCCTACCGATCGGCGCAACCGTTCGCGGTGTCATTCAGGAGCTCAGGCAAGCACAGCCTCGTTGTGTGCACTGAAGCGGGTGGGGGGTGGGGGGGGGGGGGGTGTTAATTATTAAGCTAATTGCAAACTTTTACACCGGTGAGGCCCTACGGGAGCTTCATCGGCGCCTTGTCTCGCACCTCACCGCATTCTTTGAGACAGCAGCGGATCGCAAGAGCTTGCAGGCTTGATTGTCAACGGCATGGCCATGGGCAAGTTTGGCGAGGAGTTGTGCTTGTGAGCTTGTTCCAAGGATTTGCGAAGTATTTGTTTATTTGTGTCTTCCACAACTTGCATGGTCGTGCAGGGCAAACCTGTGGAAACTGCTGCCGAAGGACTCTCGGATCCGTGGCTTCTGCGAGGACCTGCGGAGTTCGTCTGATCCTGCACAGCTGCAGGCAACCTCCTCGAATAGTGACATCGTGCTGAATGCTCCAAATCTGTGGAGCTGCTAGGTGGGAGAGCACGTGGCGGTGAAGATCGTGGATGTTGACATGCTGACGAAGCGGGTCTTCGTCTCCACGCGTGAGGCTTGCGCTCTTGCGCCCGGATTTCGCATTTGTCGCAGACCTTCTGTCGGAATTTGCTGATCCGGCTCACGACGAGGCAGATCCTCCCTGGCCTGCACCACGAGAGCGTGTTCTTCACACGCTGCTTGCCACAGTACAGAACATGGGCTTGCGAGCTCGAACCACGTGACAATCCTGGACCGAGGCCGGAGAAGTATGAGGATCCGTCCTTCTTCCCGCTGCCATAGATGCCTGGAGCATGGTATCTCCAGAAACTCCCTCGCGGGCCCGCATGGCCGACAGCTAGTTCAAAGCAAGCTTGACTGGTGCCTGTAGACCTGCGCTCTGCAGAGAGACGGAAATCAAGAGATGCGATTCGGCGATGCATTGCTGGCAGCAGGATGCAATTACATCCAGCCTTGATCGGAATGCATTGTCGGAGTCTGCAGTCTTTTAGTTGCCTGAGATGTATCATGTTGTTTAAGGAGAGGAGTAAACGAACAAGCTGGGTTTTCTCTTGCTTGGTAGCCGGAAGCTGGACGGGTGGCCACCAACTGCTTTCGGCGCAGCATGCCTGCTTGCTCCCGCCAATTTGTTATGCCACCTTTCAGCCGTACACACATCAGCGTGAGTTCACGTTCGCCAATTCGCCGGCATGCTAGTATGGATGGTTCAGAGTGGCTAGTTTGCAGCATCACAGCTTTGCAAACCCAAATCCTGCGCAGCGGGAACAGGAACAGTACGTGCCTTCTATTATCTTGCTGCAGCGTCTCGTCGCTTGTGTCCGGCCATGGATGCTGAAGATGCTGCATGTCTGCCCCTCGAGCTCAACTTTAGATTGGCATGCATGCATGTGATTCGGTGTTGCGCACAGGGTTATCGGCTCGTCAGGACAAGCAGCTCCAACTCGGACGTGTGCAATTATGACACTACTCTAACATTACAGTTTCCATTGATGGAAAGTCAATGCAGTGTACACTAACTACTATAATTTCGTTGACAGCGTCAATCTTCTTTTCCTTTGTTCACTCGCCTTCCCCCCTAAATACTGCCAGGTGCAGCAGGGATTTCCGGTCCTTCGTTTGATCGAGGCCGGCTTGAGATGCGGTGGACCAAAGCTTTTTGGCAATCCTTCGGTCCAATAATGGTGTGAGGGTTGCGTCCCTTAAGTTGAGGATGATTTATGGTTTGGCGCTTAGGGCTTAGGGTTCTCATTGAACCAGGAACCTGGGCCCACCACAAAGAGTCATATAGAGTAAAAAGGGAGCACCCTTCTGGTTTTCACATTTCACATTACATGACAGGATCATGACCCTAGGTGGGCGGTGCGTCCTCACCTGTGTGGGATGGAAGCTTACATGACATGTTTAACTGTACATCCATGTAGGTCTTCCAGGAGTAAGCAGGGTTTGCAATTTGCTACACACGCTTTGCGAACCCGAACTGTCACACCACTCTTTGTTGACAAGGCAATGCCATGACAATTTGTTGATTGTAGCAGGTACAGCTCGAACATGCGGAGTGTGTTAAGTGGGAAGTATATTTTACCAGTAACTGCAGCCATGAACTAGCAGGTAGTAGCATCCACAGCGTGAGACCCCCCCGCCCCCCCGATGGCCCCCGATGGCAGGAGCTGACCACATCGAAGGCCCCTCAGTCTCTGACAGGCAGGGCCTGGCATTTAGGGTTTATGGTTTCCAGTTGTTGACGATCGGGGGCTTCAGACCCTGTGGTTTCCCCCCTTCGTGCTGCGTGCATTTAGCCACAGGCATGGCTCGTCGTGACGTGTGGTTTCTTATGAAGGTGCGGAAGTTAAGGAGCAGGAATCCTCTAGTTCCATACAGGATCGCAGCGCGAAAGAATCGGGATGCTGCCCCCCAGACTTTTCCATCCATCCCTTGACAATGGAGCTGTTCATGAGAAGAAGCATGTAGAGTAATGCTGGATCCCTGCGCATCCTTCCCTGTACCCATTCTGGCCTTTGTGCTCAACCCCTGGATGGTTTCACCCTCGAAGCGAAGCTGGTCCAGGATGCATCGCCGACATTGATTTGGCCGTAGACGTGATGCAGACATTCGGACATTGGACTGCAACTGGAAGGGTTGCCTAGCTCCCGAAGCTTTGTCTCGCAGAACGTGGTTTCATGCATCGCCACAGCGTCTACTTGCCGAAACCATAGTTCCAGGGTAGGCTGTACGTTTGTAAACTCCACTGGGAGTTCTGTGAGCGTTTACTTGCAGAAGCCATCGTTCCAGGTAGTGGGTATGTTTGTTGGCCTCATCTCGTATAGAGAGTTCTGCCAGCATGTAACGGCAGAAACCATGGTTCCAGGTAGGGTGCTTGTTTCAACATGAAATGCACGCAATATCGTAGCGTCTGCAACGTTTCCACGATGTCGGTACATTCTTCACGGCTCCATGAGACGCAGAGTCTGCCTGGGGATGCCTGAGTGTGACGGAGTCTGAAATGCATGCAGAAGAACATAAAATGCACTGAAGACGTTTGCAGCGTTTCCGCGATTCCCGCACGTTTTTTCGCGGCTCCTGGAAGCACAGCGTCTACTTGGGGATCAGCATCACCTGATGCATATTTTTTCCTATTTTGCCTGCAAGGTTTATTTCCTCTCGTAAAGTGTCTACTTAGGGAGATGCATGTGCTCACCGACTGATGTGAGATAACTAGCTCGGGGCTCCATAGATCCGGAAACGACGTGCCCAGGAAATATGGAACAACGGAGGCGCCTACGACGTCAGGGCTTGGGCCTGCTTGGGCATGGGGATTTGGAGAGCGTTCGGGGCTGAAAACCGTGCTCAGGCATCGGCATAGCTTGCAAGTCCAGATGTTCTGGAGATCGGACACCGGAGTGTGGCAACATCGGGCAATGCTGCTGAAGGCCGGAGGGGGGAGCTGGGGGGAAAGAAGGGAACATCGGCAGCGTAGCACAGTTGCACGGCTAGATTTAGACCAAGGTCTGTGAACAATTGGCTTCAGGCTTGCGTTCAGCACCTCTTGTGAGATCTGCAACCGGATCTCGTGCACACAATGCGCTTCGAGAGAAAATGCCAGCAAAGCAGATCCCTCCTTACAGAACGTGGAAGGATCACTTCATTGTCAGTGAAGGTGCAACTGCAGCAGAGGCAATGATTTGGTACGAAGCGGGCTCCACATGCCTACAAGTCCCGTGTGATTGCAGATTTTTGGTTCAAGCTTCTCGTGGGAGCTTTCAACCGGCGAGTCTTGCATCAGGCATGAGCCCCAAGGCCGGGATCGGCTGGAAGGCGAATGTCCTCGAAGTAAGCTTCGTGCAGGTGTTGAGCAAACACGCGAAGAAGGCGGGAAAGTGTGGCTGTTGCAACAGCACAGTCCAGGCCTACCACTTCAAGCGGGGACCTCAGTTTGTGATCTAATTGCTTTCAGTGCTACCACTGTGTGTCTGCACTATACCAGGAACGGGTTGCCTCCGGACATCAAGGAGCACCTCAAGACCTGCGTGAAGTTCAACACACATGAGTGGGGCGAGCCGATTCTCCTCATGAGGCCCGGCGTACAACCTCAAACGGGCGTTCTGGGCCTGAGGCGTTTACTGTAGTTCCCAATCCCGAGACACAAAAGCAAATGTTGGCTTCAATCATGTCAACACTTCATGGCAGTCCCCTCGCCTCCGAAGAGCTCTTTTCCAAGGCTTCCGATTATTGGGGGTTCCTTGGAGGATTTCGTGTCAAGGTGGTAGTAGGGTTCTATTGTGGCATTTTTCAGGGCTTAGGGATTTAAGCTCGATCCTTAATTATCCGCAAAACCACCAGACGTTCTAAGTGGGCCTTCTATGCCGTTTGTAGGATTGTTTCGCGCCTCTGAGAACCTATGGCGGCCTCTGGGGTAGCCGAGGTTGCAGGGGTCCTTTGGAAAGGTCACAGTTGTTTACAGGCACTAAGAAGGTGAAATGATTGGTAGTAGTGACCCCAAATATGGACTTTGTGCAGTTGTCCGATGAACATGTCCATGAGATGCACGTGCCACTTTTCGTCTGATTTGCCTGCTTTCGGTCCGCGCACGCACAAAGAAACCCTGGTCTAAGTGTTTGTCTTGCATCGCACGGTTCTTGTGGCAGGCTTTTGAGAAAGGGACGAGGCGGATGATGAAGACCATTGGGACGGTCACCGAGCACGGTGCATTCTCATTCATCGGTGGAGGCGCTACTTTGGAGGCTTGCAACAAAAGTACGGCCCCCTGGACAAGGCGCAAAGAGGGTGTAGGGAGATGGGTTCAGAGCTCAACATTTAGATTTAGAAACCGGCGTTTAGGTTGAGGTTCTGGGTTCAAGTTGTGAGGGCTTGTGGTTTGGGTTTTGGTGGATGGCTTGGTCTGGTGTGTGAGGCTCAAAGGCCTCCGTCTCCGTTCCACGGCCCATCGCGACAGCCAAAACATTCCTCGGCTGTAGCTTTGATGCTGCCAGGATAGACAGGGTTAAAGATTCGACAAGCTTTGCCTGCGAATTTAGAGGGCCTATTCCTCATCTCAACGTTAACAGCTTGCGGATAGAGGAAAGCGGAATGTGCAAGTTGCAGGTTGGACCTAGTTAGTAGAGACACACACACACATGTCAGAAACCATGGACAGGCATTGTGGAGTGCAAGCAAGCATCCATCAAAACGCCAAGTCAGGCATTCCGCCTGCAGTAGACCATGCTCGAAGCGGAAATCCAGATTTTATTGTAGTTGACGCCACAGTGCCACCGCAATCTTCGTTTTCCCGAATGCCACTACACCTTTCTGAAAGTTCGTCTGTTGGAGTCAACATTGCCAGGTGTGCACGACCGTGCCTTCTGCTGAGCTCTGGTACGGCGCATGTCAGCGCGATGGGTTGGAAAAAGCCCGGTTGTCCAGGGTAATTAGCTGTCATGAAGATGCCCAGGGATTGCCATTGCGGCCGCAAGGAGTGCGGTTCGCTGATAGTGAACTGTCCAGATTTTGTCCATGCACAGTGCGGATGCGGCAGGCCCGAACCCGTGCGAATTTTGCAGGTGTCTCTTTCGGATGTTGGGCCATTTTGGCATAGCTCTTTTCAGGCTGGACAAAACGAGTTCCAGTGCGGTCATTTTCCCGCTTTTATATACCTCGAAAGCCACGCCGAGTTTTTTGGTCAGGCTGAAAGCGCTAGTGGTGCGGACGTGCACGTCGCTGGACATAGGCTCAAGTCTCGACATGACAATTATTTGTATCGTAACACAAAAATTCAGAAGGCTTCTTCGCAACTGGTTTCATCAAGATAAATCTCCAAGATAATTGTCCCTGTGAAGCGTCACCCCCGTGCCGATCTGTTTCATTATCGACAACGTTGCCGCAGACGCATGAGTACTAGACTTGCCCAAATGCTGTTGACCCCTTTTCCTGGCTCTTGGCTACTAGAGCACGGCGAGCTCCCTCGCCAAACTCGGCAGCTTATAGCGTGCTGACATACAAGTTCCCCTTGCGGTTGTTGCTAGGCAAAGGAGCATCAGCCCAAAATTTCACGAACCCCTATATAACTGGATGTTAACTGATGGTCATGCCAATTTCTCCGCTTTGGGCTTGCAACTTCTTGATGATGATGATGTTGGGACAATGCCCCAGCCGCCTGATCGCTGGGCTGCACGTTGCTCACGCCAACGGGCTGACGCATGTTGTCCTTGCACCACCCCCTCAACAAGAAGCTGCCTTTGAAACAAGATTGGTCACTTTGCTGAACTGTTTTGGCCGTGCGATCGATGCTGTTCGAGTTTTTCTTAGGGCTAGGCTGCTTGGCCGGCGATCGCAAGTTGATGTCAGCTCTACAATGTTGCAGAGCAAAGCCAAACGCTAGGTTCACGAGGACCCCGGCTGTTCGGCGAAACTCGTGCGTCCAAGAGCATCCACGGGATAATGCAGAGAGAATAATACAGAGAGAGAGAGAGAGTCTTGACTTCCCCTTCGCCATAGCCCTGGCGAAAGAAAGAGAGACAAGACCGCCGTTCGACAGAGCGAAAGTTCATGGCGAGCCCTCCTCGGCAGAGTCACATCAACACAGGGAGTCGCTGTAAAAAACATCTACAGTTGGGCTACCTGGGCTGTTAACTCTGATGAAGGCTGGTGTCCGCCGGGTTTTCGCGCGGCGGTTTCACCTTCGCCACGCCTTCGCATATCGACCATCATGGATGGTTGGCAGTGGCTCGTTTGCTGCAGCGCTGCTTTACCCACCCGAATCCTGCGTAGCAGAAAGAGCCAGCGCGGCCGTTCTATCATTGTGTTACCGTTGCCTGTGTATCCTTCCTGTCCCAGCGTCGGAAGAGGATTGCAGGAATCAACTGCCCGGCAAGCGTGCGTTTAGCCATCGACCACCCTGCGGAGCGACTCAGTTCGCAAGGACAGGCGCCGGCGGGTTGAATTCTCTGTGGCTCAAGGCATCAGCTCTGGCTCGTCCAGTCATTCGGCCCTGAGATTGTGCAAAAGTGGCGTGGTTGGTCTTGAAAAAGCTATCTACTTTAGGATTTTAGGCTGCGCAGTCCTCAGTGTCTTGCCAATGCAATATGACTTGCCAAGTGTGCGCGCCGGTGGTGACATGTTGGCAGCAGCTGTGGGAATCGATTGCATGACAGCATCCTCGAGGGCGGCGCTGCGCCGGCTCACTACTCGCATCGGGAGGCACGCGGGAGCCAAGGCCAGCAGCAGTGCTGTGGCTGGCTGGCCTGCGGTAGCTCCTGCGGTGGCTTCCGCGGTGCCACTGCTGCGCTGCGTGGCGTTGGCACTGAAGGGCAGTGTCCGGGCTGCAAGGCGCCAGGTGGCCTTGGGCCGAGTTGCGATCGACGGCCGCCGTGCTGAGGATGAGCTGGAGATGGTGGAGAATCACCGCGCCGTCTCCGTCTTCAAAACCAAGCGTGGAAACATCCAAGAGTTGAAGGCCCCTCGGCGCCAGGAAGTCTACATCAAGCTCCACAAGCCACGCGGAGTGGTTTGCTCGCACGTTCGGGAGTTACCGGATGCTCTGATCGTATCGGATGTTTATCCGGTGGGTGCACAGGACTGTCACTGTGTTGGCAGACTGGATTCGCGGAGCGAGGGCTTGCTGCTCGTCACCACCGACGGCTTCTTCACGAGATCTGCATCAATGCCCGAGACACACGTGGAGAAGGAGTACGTGGTCTTGATCGCTCCTGCTGCGTCTGGGCCTGGAGCTGACGCGTGCTTGCCCTTCCGGCCGCCGACAGAAGCGACCCTAAGGCAGTTGACGGATGGAGTGGATCTCTTAGATGGTAAGGCGCTGGCCTCTGCCCTGGAAGCGGAAGTGCTGCAGTGCGACGAGGCCATGGGTCTTGCAAGGCTAAGGCTGGTGGTGGATTCCGGCCGCTACCACCTCGTGCGACGGATGATGGCTGCCTTGGGCCATCGCCTCAGCTTTCTGACGGCTGTACCTCCAGGATTTTGACCAGAATGCCAGAATCAGATGAGAAGCTTCATACACTTGCTGTTGGCATGCATGTCGGTCCCAGGCTACAGCTGCAAGCAGCTCATCCGCACGAGGCCAGGGCCTCAGTTTCCACAACTGTAGTCTGAGAGAGCAGGGCGCAAATTTCACCCGCTGACCCCTGCAAGGATTGGGGAAATCCGTGGTGTCCCTGTCCGCCCGGCCAGCTTGGAGCAGGCAGCAGCAGAGGACAAAGCAGGAACCCGGCCGCAGGCGGCTCGAGCCGAGAAGGGCTTCGCCGAGTCGCTTCTTCCGGGGCAGCAACTGCGATTCAACATTGGCAACTAAGCCCGCTGTTGTGTTTGTTTTTAACATTTTTTAACGGTTAATCTGATACAGCGCCGTCAGTTGATTATTGATTTTTTGCCACCAGGTATGCGACTATTGCCACAGAGGACGTGCTAACCGTTTACCGGCGTGGCCTGCAATGGTTGGACCACCTCGCCGAATCGCGAGTCGCGTCGGGCAAAAAGCAGGGAGCCTTGCTTTTGAGTTTCACAGTGCCGGCTCGGACTCAAATTGTAAGCAGCTCGAACACAGCTTTCCCTCTCCGCATTGGCTCTTCGGACCAAAGGAGTCAGACGTAGCAAGTCTGCAGTCAGATGTCGCGGCCTCACCTCATGAGAGAATGGCGCCTAGGCGCTCAAAGCTCTCGCTGAGCAGGCGCAGAGACTTATCACAAGTGCTTTGTTCCATCACTGCCGGATGCAGCTCCATTCAACGAGAGCCACGGGAGTTCTCGAAAGTCCTACACACCTTTGGCACCGACACCTCCAACTGGGAAGAACGGCGGTGCATATCCAGAGATGAGGTTCCTCGAATGCAAACTCATCGCTGATGAAGGCTGCTATCCTTCTTCCTCCCACTAAGCCGTCTTGTCCTTTCGGGGTTGAAATTGAGCCGGGTTTCTGTGCCAGGTGGACTTTCAAGCTCCCAAGTTCTGTTCGGGATGCGCTTCCTGTGTTTTATGATCTTTATGCCTCTATGAGCCTTATGGGCCCGGGGCCGGGGAGAGTCCGAGTCTCCTCGAGCCTCGAGCGTGAGCTGCTCGTGTCTTGTGTTGTCCTCGCGTGGCCATGGGATACGTCGGAACCATCCTAGTGATGATGCCTTTTTGACGGCATGCCCTCTTATGAGTGTCAAAGGCATTTGCAGGTGAGTGATGAGTGCTTTCAGACTCGGGGCGGCAGTCATGGAAGTTGTCTCAAACCCTGTGCGATTTTTGGCAGATAGGTGAGATCGTCTGGGCAGACTCGTCGGCCAGCGTATTCTAGCAGTCTCAATTATTTTTCTCCTCGTCGCAGTCTCTTCAGCGAATTCTCGTGCAGGAGACGTGTGGGATTTGGAAGTTGGTGGCTCGTTCACGGCCTCGATTTTTCTAGACAGTGTGGTTCCATGTCTGAGTGCGGCAGGGGAAAAGGCTCAGAACACTGGTGTAACTGTACATCTCAGTACCGAAGGGGATGCCAATCCTCGGCCAAGCACGCACTTCCTCATGAGTGTGCACATGTGTGCGCGCCCACACAAGAGGCGCATTGAAGCGGGTGTCTTTGTCATTCTAGGGAGACGTCTGCCTTGTTGGCTTAGGTCAGGGAACACTTTGTTTCCCCCTTCAAGCACTGCCGTACTCTGGGGGATGATGGGCCCAAGCACCTGGGCCAGCAGCAAGCAGCTGGCATGTTCGCCTGTGCAGTCTTGTCCCTTTGCTTGAGCGGTATCTCGCTGCAAGCGAGTCGGCGAGGTCTGGTCAGAATCACAACCGGTCACCCATCGTTGGGCGGAAGCCCAGCAACGAGGAGATCCTGGCGCGAGCTCGGCGGGTCATCATTTCGGCCAAGGCCAGAGGGCTTCAGCCAAAAGGAAAACTACTTCACCAGTGCTTTGAAGTGGTTTCAAGCTACGGCTAGTGCTGCGACCACTGGAGGCCCATCGCGAGATGTCCTGGGACAAAGTCTTTGCCGCTGCCGATTCTGACAAGCGCCTTGCTGGGAACAGGGGTGAGACTTGACGCTCCAAGATTCGATCCAGCAGTTGCTTCTTCGAAGGTCCGGTGCTTTGGATGCCAAGGAGCTGAAGCAGGTGGAGGGAAGAACATCCATCAAGCATGCACAAGCATTTGGTGCTTGGGAGTGCGGCTGCTGTGTCGAGTCTGAGGCAGTGCGAGCAGCACTTCGAATCACTCCAGAAACTCTTCCTGACTATGACTTGCAAGTTCTTTTCGATGTCATTGATCACGACAAGAGTGGCTCCGTGGAAATGCCTCCTGGCTGCAGCACAGAACATGTCATCCCGGATGATACGCTCTTCCCGTCCTCCCTCTAGGTCGGAGCTTCTCGAGTACGTGTCCCACGGCTCGAAGCGGCCTGATGATGAAACCAGGCTCCTAGAAAAGAAGACGGCGCGGGTCCGGCGCAATCTGAACTTGGCCTTTCGGAGACCCAGCCGCAGTCGGGCACCTCAGAGCACCGCCTTTGACTGCGTTGACGCGACCAAGGAAGTATACTGCATCACATTCAGCAATCAACGAGCTGCGCGGAGCTTGAAAACAAGCTTGAGCCATCTGGAACATGGAGCACAACATACATGAATTCAGGGCTCAACATGCGCCGAGGTTTGCAAACATTGATGCGGGTGGCGATGGGAAAATCTCTCTGCAAGCCGGCTGTATAAATAGGTCACACACAGCCTTCTGGCCAAGCCTCGATGCCACTAGGGTAGTGTCTTGCCGGAAGCCGGTTCGCTGTACATCGATTGCTGTGTCAGTCTATGAAGTTCCATGTGGATCGGAACATGCCTGCGCTGTTCGCAAAGGCTGGAATTTCTTTACTTCGCTCGACAAAACCTGCATCTCACTGCATACGACGTGGGCGACATGGAACTGAAGCAGTTTTACAAGAGCCCGCTTCCTAGAGTCGGGAGACGCTGGCTCTCTTGCCGATCGCTACAGTGGTATTCCGCATTGGAGAGATCCGAGTGCGTGAGGTATGGACCGGGATGGGGACGGTGTGGATGCTGAAGAGCTGCTGAATTTCATAAAGGAGCAGCACGCGGAACTGTCCGGTAGGAAGGCGGCTTGAAGTCTGCAAGCTCCAATAGCTCCAGTTCCTTTCCAAAATGCCATACAGCATTGAAAGGTCTTCTCTTTCATGGACGGCTCTTCAGAGGATGCTGTCAAGAAAGAGCCCTGGAAGCAGCGCAACCCGTTTGAGAAAGCATGTGCTTCCGGCGAAGGACCCAGTCTCTCGGCTTGTTGTGCATTGCGAACCTTGCACGCCCAGTGCCTTCTAATTCCATCCGTCGTCGCCGGATGTCTTGCAGATACGGTGGGATAGCCGTGCAGGCTGCGGGGCTCCCAAGGTCACTTCGAGACCACCGAACATGTCACCTGGCACCGCTTTCTTTCTCTCGCTTTCTGAGGTTGCGTGTTCGTCAACCTCGGGCGCATAAAGCCACCCAGCATGCGGCTCGCAATGTCCAGCCGGTAGGATGGCTTGCAGCAAACCGTTGACAGCCTGAATGCTGAGAATCAGATTTGAGATGCACCATGCCAGGCTTTGTAACTACAGCCACTGGTGCGAGAGTTTAGCTAACTGGTCGTGATTGTTTTTCCCACGAGATGCACCACGTCCACCTGCCAAAGGCAGCTGGCTTGAACTGTTCAAAACAGCTCCAGGTGCTAAGCGTCGTGTGAAACGCGCGCTGCAGTGCTGCTGCTGCCTCATCTGCCTCTTCCACGTGCAGACGGGGATTTATGCAACATGTGAGATCTTTAAACAAGAGATCCCACGCACTTGTACAAGGTAAACGAAATAGGCAGGCCGAAAGCAGACTATGACCAGTGCCTGAGAAACATTGTTGCAATTGGAGAAACCTGCCCGCACTTGATATCATCGGCCCACGCCGATCAAGTGCCTCTCAATCAGAGAGAGAGAGAGAGAGAGAGAGAGTGTGTGTGTGTGTGTGTGTGTGCTGCAAAGCTCTTTAACCTTTTTCGAAGCTGTTACTGAGCAGGAAGCGACGTAGCATGCCATGATCTTCCTCGCAAGCTTGCCACCAGCATCCCAAAACAGCTCGTGCGCGAGCACAAGCCAACTCTTTAAGAGAGCTCAAGTCAGGAATGGGCCGACGAGTTCGTAAGCAGAGCATCCTGCTGCGCACATGGTCCTTTGACCAATTGGAAACATGGGCGGCAGCCGGCGAAGAGGTGACAGCGGCGAGAGGTGCAAAGCTGAGTCCAATAAGGCCGTGCTGCGATTATTATGTGTTTCGAAAGAGTTGGGCATGCCAAGGTATGCATCCAGACGGATGGACAGCCGAAGCAGAACCCGCAGCAAGCCTCAAAGGACAGCCCTGCCTTTCATAACATTTCCTGTCTGCCTTTCTCCATTCGTGCCAGGAGCCAGCGCCATCGCAGTACAAGCAGACCACGGACAGTGCTCCGTGTACATGTGTGACACAGAGACGCCTTCTAACATGGAAGTCGGCAAATGCAGTTGTCGCAGGATGGACAGCAGAAGCCGAGGGAGAGGGAGCCGAAAGGTCCGGGCACGGCTAGCATGTTGAGGCTCTGAGCTCACTAAGACATGGTCTCAGGAGAGCCGCAGCCGCAGCAACGGCGCTCGCGGCCGCAGCCGCGGCAGAGGCAACCCACAGCCCGCGCATCTCGACGAGTTCTGGTTAAGCTACGCAGAGTCGCGGGCACTGTTCTGAGATGGCGGCTGGTATACTTGTAAGAGATACATACCCATATCGTGATCCTGTCAGTCCCTTCATTCCTGTTCCGTTTTGTTTTGCAGACGAAGAATCAAGATCTGTGGGTTCCGAAAACTCGGCCGGCTCAACGTCGCTTGATGGGGTCCGGAGGTGCTTCATTGGGAAAGTTGTTTGTGTTTGTTTTCTCTCAACTGGTGGCAACAGCAATGTAGGTGCAAGGCATGCGCAAGTAAAGGCAAAGGTGGTCTTGCGCCCGTGCTGAAGCTTCTGCGGCTGTCGAGTTGAATGTGGAACGCGCGAAGGTATCGGATTCCTCCTCCAGCTGGTCGAGCCGATCCGAAAAAAGAAGTTTCCATAACAGAGGAGCAAAGACAACACTCCATCTCGTTGGCCGTGGCCTCGACTTCAGTCCCCGTTGATTGTGCAATGCATTTCAAGCGCCGCCCTAGGAAGGCTATTTATATGCCACTATTGACTTTACCAGTCCACAAGCTCAGCCGCCTTGGACGACTGAGCCCGATGATGCTTGACTGGTCTGACTTCGTGAGCTGTCGAGTTCCTGTAGCATCACTACAGCGTCAAATTCCAGCGTGAGATTGCCTCAACTATAGCCCAGGCACGGTATACCTATCAGACCAAGACAGATATATCGGTGATCCGGGCGAAGAATCTTCCTAGTGGATGGGAAGTGGCGCCAGCAACGGAAACTGTGATACGAGAGGCTGGGTGCACTGTGGGAGTTGCGATTGTCCGTTTCATGCTCAACAGTTTCGTTCAGGTTATCAAGCCGTATTCCTGGGGCACGCACCTACTGGTCACGGAAGGTTGCAAAGCTTATTGGACAGCCGCTGGCAACCGGTCCGCACAGAGGGAGCTTGTTAAATTACTGCATTCTGCTTGACTTGGCCAAGCCCGACTGCAAGCCTTGCCAACTGAGGAAACAATCCCGGCTGCTTGGAAGCGCTGTGGGACTACGAAAAACTCCCTGGAAGGACTTTGTTGTCGTGTTATACAGGTGATGAGCAGTGTCAGGATAGTGATAGTGATGACATAGACGGGCGCAGGTATACGCTCAAAGCAAAATTTGGACAAAATGCAGCGTTGCATGGCGACTCGATTGCAATTGCCTGCACTGCTTCTCCTGGAAGCAGCTTGTCCGACCAAGGCATCATACTCATCAAGACCGTCTCGAAGTTGTCTTAGCTTAGCAAGCTGACACCTGAGACCGCTGTAGCCCGACTGGGAAGCTCAGCCGGCCGATTTGAAAAAGAATGCGCGCTTGTTTGCATTTATCTATTCGCGCATGTTTGCCAAGTGACGTGTTGGCGCAGAGACGACATGCTGATGGTCGATGTCGGCTCCAGAGATCTACCGGAAAGTTACATCGGTGCAAAGGGGCAGGCCGCGGTGGCCTCATCGAGGGCGGCCGCTTTATCGAAATTTGATGCGCCCGCGAGCCAAGGATGCCTGTGGATGGCATCGTGACGAACGGAAGCACTGCACCGGACCGGCCGAAGGCAGACCCTGTCTCAGACAGGCTTGATGTTGGGTTCGTCATCTTTCATTGCAAGGTGCAGGATGTGCCGGACGACGAGGTTCTCAATGACATCAGCTGCGCGGCTGCAAAGCCAGCAGCTTTAACAGTTTCAGAATGATGTCTGCGCAAGCTGAGGTCTGATGAAGACATGTGGAACCAAAGAGACGGCTCTGAAATGCATACGCATGCTTGACAAGGCCCAAGTCATGGGATTTACAGTGCTTCTAGAACTTCGAAGTGAGCTGCACCAGATGCACATAAGAGCAGCTGGGAGTAAAAAGCTGTTCGAGTGGCTGATGTTGATGAGAGTCTTGTCGGTGTCAAGATTGATGGCGAATCATGCAAGATCCTACCCTGTCCTGTCAGTGCCTCGAGACGGGCAAGCTAGACCTATCTGGAGAGGACATGGCCGAGGAGCGCGGGCATTCGTTCCTGTTGCCCACAGCTCATCGATGCTTGGTGGCCATGCGGTTTCATGCGACATGTCGCGCGGAAGGAGATGCTGGCTGGCTGCCCAGCTTTATCTTTCCATGCTCGGTTGAGACGAGAGAGTGGCACATCGCAGTGGCATGATATCATATCGCAGGTGAAGACGATCAAAGCTGTGGGCAAAATCGGGGGCATCAAGGGGCCACGTGGCGCTGAACAACAGCAAGCAGAATGGTGAGTAGTTTTGTCGAGCATTTGGTTGGACAGAGGCTGATGCCAACCCGAACTTCGACTTTGCCGATTAACGAGATCAACCTCAGCGGCAACTCCCTTCTAACTCCACCATCGCCGACGGACCGTGTGTTTTGACATGTTTTGACAAGCTGCATCTTGCAAAGACTGGGTGTCGTACTAATCTGGGGAAGGAGCATACTGCAGCAGTCAAGGCAAGTCACGGGCTTGGCTGGAGCAGCATTATTGCATGGCCGCACAAGAGCGCCAGTCCTGTGCTGAAGCTGCTGAGACTTGAAGCGCCGAGCAGAAACGGTGCAGCTGATAGTGCAGTTCGTTCGAGTCTCAACAGAGGCGGGATGCACGGCATCACGCATGCAATCCTTGCAGAATGCTTTGACCACGCACGCACATGATTCGATGGCCGGCAGGCACGCACGGTCATCTTCGATAACTGCAACCTGGAAGGCTACAGCACGGCCCTCATCTCATGGCAATCTTTCGCTGTCCTTCTGGCACTTGCAGCCGGACCCGGCATGCGCGGGCGGTGATACGCCCACGACATGTTAGCAAAGACATGCATTGAGGCACACGAGGAAGCAACGGGGTCGGGCACAGGCAAGTTCACGGAGCGCACCGGGCAAGTAGATGAGCTGAGATGAGATGGGAAAGCAATGGAAAGCATTGCTTGGATGTCGCAGCCCAAAGTGACATAACATCAGCGAATCAAACGACTCATACCGCATTGAAACAACTGGACATCTGGGGTGACTGTAAGTGTCTAACTATTGTGGTCTTGTCTAATCTTGGACTTCAACTCCTACTGCTGGTGGTGCTGGGCTCGGCACGACGCAAACAATAAGGGACGTGTGACGTCACAGCCGTGGGCTCGCAATAGGCAGGTGGTGCAATATAGTGTGTGCGTGTGCGTGCGTGCTACATACTTGATGCATGCAAGGTAGCATCGCTTCTTGACTTTAACCTGCCCCCAAGCTCCAACATGGCGAGGTCATGACAAGGACGACCTGGTCGAGCTTGAGATAGTACGGCTGGTGAAGAAGTTCGGAGCCGGAAAGAACTCGAGGTATGCCGAGAAAGTTTCCCTGGCTGGCAACCGCTTCGGCCAAGAGTTCTGCCGGCGCATCATTGAAGGTGCCTACTGGGAACGCAACCGACATCCCGACAGAGAGACCATGCCAAAGCTTTTCTTGGATTTGTCCAAGAATCGCATTCCGCACCCGGAACGAATCGTGGACGAGCTGAAGGAGGGGAAAACAGCTGGGGGACCCATGAGCCTGGCGACCACAACCGACCCGGAAGATGTTCGCAAGGATGCGCTCATCGTTCTGGACATTACGGGTCAAAGAGATCATTCTCCTTCAGCTCCTCGTGACGGGCGAAGGCCTCTCATAGATCAGCTACGCCAGGAGCGGCAAAGGAGGCCGTCGCCGCGACGACCCTCCCGAAGTCCGCCCCGGCCTCGGTCGCGGAGCCGGTCTCGGTCGCCACCCAGACAGCGTTCTCCCAGCCGTCGCCGGGACAGCCGGCCGCGCGACAGCCGCAGAAGGGACAGCCGCGGCCGACGCTCGCCCTCTCGGCGCAGCCCATCGCGGCGGCGACGTAGCCGCTCAGATAGCAGGCAACCTCGTGGCAGGAGAGGCCGCTGACCACTGATTCCAGGCCATAGGTCAAGAAGTCCATAAGTGTTCTAGTTTGGGTGCCCAGCTGACAGTTGGCTTGCCACTGATCCCGCGGCATGTTACCCCTGGTGCTTTGTCTCCAGGCTTAGGCATGAATGCCTACGATGTGTTACTCATTGACGAACCACGAGAAACTTACTGAGCCCAACATGCAAGTGCCATAAGGCATACATGTCAGTTAGCTCACTCTTACTGTAACACGAATATATGATATGCAGGGCATGTCGCAAGTCAGCACGGCGGTTCACGGCGTGCTGTGCCTTGCTCTGCGCTGTCAAAACTGGCAGCGAAGAGTATCCCGCGGCTGGCGCGAGGAGCATATGTGTCCTTTTCAATCACACTTGCGCTCGCGCAGCTGGTTCATCTTATGAAAACGAGCGCTGCAATTGCCATCAACGCACACACCTTTCGCAAGAAGCGCTTGATGGGTGCCTGCTCGTGCCGATGGCCCCATTTCTGGCGAGATGCAGGCAACAAGCGGTTCTGAGAGAGGTATTGGCAGAGGTGCGAGTGCGAGATGAGCATGTTTTGGTTGTCATTCGCCGCAATCTTGGGTTCAGACCTGAGCGAACTCTGTGGAACCTTGTCGCGCTGTCACTCTTGAGGCAGGTACTTGGAATAACAGGGCTGAAGCCTCATGGACACATTGGAGGGAGCGTGTCATGGAGAGGGAGAGAGTGACGGTCCCCGGATTTCGTAGCTCAATTAAACACCGTGAAAGCACGGGCAACATGCGACACGCAGCGTCACACCGATACGGGCCGAAAGCAAGGCAAGTTGAAGGGCCGGGCGACGGGATGAAGCGTTGCGACTCTGTGTGGTGTGGTAAGAGATATATGAGGAGGGCCGGGCTTGAGTGGAGGAGTGCGGGCAGGTGGGAGCTGGCAACTGCCACAGTATCTCCCAAGCCGCTAAGGATTGGCGGCAAGGTTGTGCTAGGTTCACAGGGGTTCCATTAGGGTCATTATAGGGGTGGCAGAACTAGGAGGACACTCTCTGATCAATATTCACGAGGGAACTGGGCATATGAGTGAGACTAGAATCATGCCCAACGAAAGCAGCAGAGAGTACGAGACGCGGCGAGTGCTTCCTCTTGGAAAAGTCTTTGGGGGATGACTAGAGCAGGAAATAGCCGATTGTTGACTGCCCACCACCTTTGAAGGAAATGGCATCCCAGGGAGCCACACTCCAGCAACTTGCCTGCATCTGGCCCCCCCCCACACACACACACATATATATATATATATATGTACATAATTATATATATATATATATCTATAATTATATATAGTTATATACATATATATGATTATATATGATTATATATATATATATATGTATATATATATATATATATATAAAAATATAGATATATCTATATCTGCATTCATGCTTGCATAGAGCATACATACATGTATACACATATACACAAGTGCGGAAACACGTGCACAGACAGACACACACACACACACACACGGATCTGCATAAGCACATATGCACACATACACATGCAAACATACGGAAAGACATTACACACACATATATATATATATATATATATATATATATATATATATATATACATACATATACATATGCATGTATGTATACATATGCCTGATTCGCCGAGTGCAGCTGACAATATGTACATATATATATATATACATATTTATATGTACACATATTCACTTCTGTTCAGCTTTGGGAGAAACTATCCCCCCAGCCCTTGGCTGAAACCGACAGTGACGAAAGCACCCTCCTTTGCCAGGAACTACAACAATGAGCTGGTGAAGTCCATCGAAGATTTGCGCGAGAAGCGTGAAGAACTGAACCGCCAAATCCTGAAGGACTGGCTACTTGAGGTCATCAGTTCATGCATCGTCGATGGCTAGAGAAGATTCTTGTCATTCGGCGGCTCAAGACAACTTGGGGCTATTGGGCCCGGTTGCGCAGGAAGAGGAGGACAAGGCAAAGGTACAGAAAGAGCTGTCGATTCTTACGGATCGCTTGCAGAAGGCCGGCCTGGTCTCTGGTCTCGGCCTGGACTCGTGGGGAATTCCGTGGGGAAGTCCTCTTTGGCAGGTCAACGAAAGCTTGGTCCGCAAGACCCAAGCTCGCAACGAGTATGACAAGACCATCCAGGAGACCGAGGCCGGGCCCAACTTCATCGAAGGGGTGGCTTGACATGTTGTCCTGGACACCCGTCGTGCACCAGCCACCGTAGCGCCGTGCTTCGTACGGATCTTGCACTGTCGTCGACTTCGTGGACCGCAGGCTGCGTACATGAAGATCTTGGAGTCTTCGCAGACCCTCTTGCATGTGCTGAAGCGCAGGGGCCCTGAGCCTCGCGCAACGTCCGCCGCTGTAGCCTGCCTTTTGTAAAGCTCTTGCCTTGAGGTGAGACCGCGGTCTCCTCAGCGAGAGGGATCGGAGCAAGTTGCAACCACATGAGAGCAGCCTCGCACCTTGTCACCTCCAGGTCAACTTGACCAAGAAGAAGCAGGGCTCAGATTGAGATATCACGTGGAGGGGCATCGGATGATGTCGCCTGACGGTCTCGAGGCCTCTGGCGATTCTGATGCCGGCGTTTGTGAATTCGGCCAGTCTGTCAGGCCCCCCGTGGCCTCAAAAAAGGCCCTTCTGCCCTCTGCTTCCTAGAATGCGCATGGGGGTTTGTCCTGTGGCCTTCTGACTGGATAGTTGCTGCAGGCTGCCACGAGACGTAAGACGTAAGCAAGGCGACGTAAGGTCTTTAGCGTTTGTATGGAATCCTCAGAGGGTCCGTCAGTCCACCATTCACTGCCGAGCATAAAATGTGCTCCGCCGTGCCCCTTGGCCGGAAACATCGACACCAACTGCTGCCTTGAAAAACAGCTCCTCGTGTCGAAGATTGAACTTACGATTGCAACAGAATTTCGTGAGGCACGCGATTGGCACTGTAGCTCTGTCCAGATCCTTTGGCTCACCAGCTCCTGTGCTGGTCAAGAAGGGGCGGCATCAAGTCGATCCAAAGGAGCGAGTCGGTGCCCTGTAAGCCTCCAAAAGCCGAGGGGAACGGAGATGGGGATGTGTGACTGGCTTGTTCTTTGCAGGACAGAACATGGGAAAAGTCCGAGCTGTCAGGCCTGGGCTTTGGTCACGAGGCACGTTGTGGCACTCCCTTGTTGCATGTGGCTGCCATGAACAGGCGCAAATTGGCACAGTTCTTCAACTGGCGTGTGCCTCCCACAGGCTTTCGCAGGACGTCGCATTGCAAAGGATGGGCTTTTTCTGGAAACACGTGGATCCGAGGTGAGCGTCACCTTGACCGATGGCCGAGTGTTGGTCGGTGTCCTCATGGCTGTAGACAGGCCCCAGCTTGTCTTTGCGCCATGTGTGGCTGCGGCCACCTCGAAGTATTTGACAGGCATGTGAATATCGTTCTCTGCAACACTGAGGCCGGTTGACAGTGTAGTTGCGGGGCTGTCTCGTCAAGGGAGTGCGTAGCAGTGTAGCTGGTCGCAGGAATATCGCAAGTACAAGGTCAAGGGCAAGCCGGAGGGTAAAGAGCTCAAGAGGCTGGCGACACGACAGTGTAGTGTCTTGTGCATCAGCTTGATCGGAAAGGATGCTGGGCTTCATAGTGGTCCGCGGGACCGGCATTCTCTACATCCAGCCAGAGGAACTTGGCAAGGAGGACGCCAGTGCTTTCTCCTCAAGCACGGTCAGCAAACGGGCTGTTGTGCAGAGGACTTGGTTGAAACGGACAAGCCGCGCAAGAAGGCAACCCCTGCAGCCACTCCGGCTGCCAAGCCTGCCCCAGCGGCAAAGGCTGCAGCAGCCCCAGCACTGAACGCAGCCGCACTTCTCGCGGGTATGCGGCCACCCATGCTGAACCCCTTGTTGGCAGCGGGGCTCCGACCTGGTGGCCTTCCTGGACTCCCAGGCATGCCAGGGTTGCCAGGGATGCCAAGCATGGGCTTGCCGAACATGGGAGCAATGCCCGGTGCCGGCCGTGGAATGCCGAGCATGCCTGGAATGCCTGGCATGCCGAGGCCAATGTGAGCGCATTAGTGCATACACATCACACACCTGGCTGTAGATCAGACACAGGTCGGTTGCTCGTCCCAAACCAGCACTCCCGATGCCCGGTTAAGGCAAACAAAGAGGTATGGCCCCCGGATTGCGTAAGCAATAGACCCTTGCCCAGGGACCGATGCTGTGATGACAGAGACAGCAGAACCTAATCCATGTATATCTCTGTTATGAACTTGCTTGGAGCCTTGCCCTTGCACATTTTGAGCAGCGGTCCCTGCAACTATCTGCAACTATAATGGCTTGAAGGGCTTGAAGCCAACGTTGGCATGGTTTCCAGCTTCTCGGAGCTTGCAAGCTGGAGCCCGTGAGGTAGAACCTGTTTTGACCTTAACCCCGGTGTGCCGCCAGAAACAACGTCCACAGCAGACCAGTCCTGTCTGCAGTTGGCATATGTAGCATGGCAGTGCTTGCCATTCTTTTCGGGTTCCGCCAGCGTTTGCCGGTGGCCTGGTCCAGCAGAAGGTTACTCAGGGACAACACTATCCCTAGTTGGTGACATAACTGATCCGTTTCTGTTCGGCCTGCCCCATCCCTGAGCCCTTGCAATGCAAGATCTTGCACACAATCGGATGTCTAGTGGGAGGCAAAAACATCGGACGTCTACCGACTGAGACTTTGGCCGTGTGTTTTCTTCCCGCTGCAGCAGTGGAGCTGAACATAGCTGAAGCCATGTCGGCGAAACTGCGTGCGAGCAGCTTGCCGTCACAGGCCCGGGTGGTTGCCCTCGCAGCTTGTAAGGTTCGAAGCTCACGGGCAGCAGCCTCCGAAAATGACAGGCACAAAACGGCAGACAGACATAGACAGACCAATATAGAAACCTGGACAGAGCATGGGCTGGTGCAAGCGGGATCTGGTTGACAGTGTGAGTGCTGAGCATCATGAATGCCCCCGGCACTGCAGCATTTCATGGTATTTCTGGCGCTTTTCGAGAAATCTCGACCAGCCTGGCATGAAGCGTGAGTGAAGGCTGGCCTGATGAGGATGCGAGGTGATCTTCGCGGTACATCTGCACGATTCCGGGATGCTCGCCCCAATCGTTGGTCCTGTGCATGCATGCTGAAGCCATAGGCTTAGCACCGCATGCCCAGCCGAGGTTCAGCTGGACAAGCCCAGTCCAGCCGCAATCTCGGCCATGTAAACTGATAGCTGTCGCTGCATGGAGTTGCATGACGTGAATCTTGAGGCCACGATCTATTCGGACCCCATCTCCCGAATTGGTATGGAGGCCAGGCACACCGGTCCACCGTGCAGCCGCATGTGCCCTTTGGATGCCGTTTGGTTTCAGGTGAAGCGCCACGATTCGAAATCGAGGCTTGCAGTGGCACCCTTCATCGTCCACCACTTCGCGGTTCAGCGCTAGGTTGATCGTCAATGACGTCGATGAGAATCCAAGGCAAAGGACCGCTCCAGTGGAGCTGGGCAGCTGTAGGTCTCTGTCCGCGTCTGCACGGCGCATCATGGAACATAGGTCGCTGACATGCCACTGCATCAGGACACCGGTGGCCCAGTGGAACACTGCTGAAGAGCGGCAGGCGGAGTATCAGCCCGAACTTGCAGCTCTCTGGCTGGTTCTGCATGTGAGGCAGACCGCGGTGATGAGGAACAGCATGCCAGCCTGGCAATCAAGCCAGGTGACCGCATCAAGGCCCCTCCGGGCCTGTCGGTAGTCAAGGCCTCTGGCCCCCGCCAGCTCTTCTTGAAACGAGGCTGTTAACGACCACAACTCTGCAACTCTGATGCTCAGCGAGCTGCAGGCTGGTCACGTTGCAATAGGACTGCTAGGACTAGGATGTTTGCTGGCTGCTGGGAGCCCGAATTCCCATATGTCATGATTCAAGAACCGATCGAAGCTGTAGTTCGAGATGTCAGGAAGCCGCGAAGCCGGAGGAGCCACGGCCCGTGAACCTGGAGGTGTCACGAGACATCTCAAATGTGCTGGCACCATCACCTCCGAAGCCGAAAACATCTGCAAGCGCAGTGCCCAGCAGACCAGCCCTGGCTGTCGCAAGCGATTTGCACTTTACATCTGAGTTCCGAGGCGTGCCTGCGCTGATCCCGGAGGGAGGGCCTTCCTCCATGAGCCGCCCGCCCAAGCCACCCAGGCCCTCTCCCAACATTGTTTCCTCACCTGTCAGTGCTGAGGGTTCTCCGCTCGAAGATGCCCTGCCTAGAAGAGGGACCACACGCCGTCAGATGGAGAGAAGCTTGGTGTCTTGAGCAGGCTGGGCTCAGGAAGGTTGCCCAGCAGGTTCCTTGCTTGACCTTCGTAGACATGTAGACAGCACGCTCAAGCCATGCGCGCGCGGCTGCTGATAGTCGTGTTGGGAAGCTGCTTGGCAGCCATCGTCGGTAACTTCGTGTTGAACTCAGATGCAGGCACAGCACTTTCTGGGGGTCTTCTGGGTCGGAGGCCGGCCGTACACCGCACAAGCCGCTATGCAAAAGGCAGGCAGAGTAGCCTTGACGTCAGGGGCTTGCTTCAGAAAGCAGGCCTGATTCTTCCAGAGCCTACGGAAACTTTTGTGTCGGAATCGGAAGATGATTCGCTGGAGATTGAAGCGCCCATTCCTCTGTTGCAGCAAGGGCTCTCTCAACGTTTGACCGAAGTAATCGGAGAGATCGAAGAGAATTGGCCAAACAAGGAGGCCGTAGTGCCAGAAGATGAAGACATAGAGCTCGAGACGCCGCTGCAAAACTTGGATGTACCCCTCCAGTGGCTGGAGCGCAACTTTGACATTCGGCCAAAGCAAGAGGAGCTGGTCTCAGAGAAGAAAGCTCTGAGGTTTGAAACGCCTCTCTCAGCACTGTTTCCCGGTGTGTTGGAGGAGGCTTTTGAAAGTACCGAAACCTGGACGGACCTTCTGCTGCCGCTGCTTGATGCGGAATCTGCTGCTCGGAGTGAAACTGATTGGAACAGTTTCTGTAGCCATTTGTAGCTGCAATCGTCCCTAGCCAACGGCAAGTGCAGGCAGCGCTGATTTTCACATAGATGCGGACCGCATCCACTGATGTAGATCCGCCTTTCTCATAAGGTGCTCGTAGACTCAATGGATGAATCTAACTACGTGACAGTGACGCTGGAGAAGCCGCATCCGTCCTGAGATTGGCAACCCTTTGTCTCTGATGTCTGTCATCGTCGTAGGAGCTGCATCGCCAGCCTGAGTGCAAGGCTGGGGATACAGATCGAGGAAAACCCACCGCAATTGGGAGGTGGCGTGGCGGTGAAGAGCATCAAGCCAGGTTCAAACGCTGCGCGAAGCTTGTCTTCAGAAGAAGCTGGAGGTGTGTTACCTACACCGACTCTCTCCATCACCGGCCTACAGGCAGTCAACTAGTCATTAGTCGACTGGCTACAGACACACCGACATGCTACACCATTCCGCCGTAAGATTTAAGATTTCAGCAGAACCGAGGAAGTCAGTTGATACAGCCTGGATACCAGCTGCTGGCAGCCTCTGGAATAGCTGCGGCTCGTCTGCGGGCAGTGAGATCCGATGTGGTGGGCCCATGACCTGCTTGCTTTGAGGTGCATGGGCTGCACCTCGAGGATGCGTCGAGGCCGATTGAAGCCGCACAGGGCCGTGTGCAGCTAACTTTCTTCAACGGGAGTGCTGAGACTTGGCCGAGCAGCAAGCGACAACGCGCAAGGCCTTTAAACCTTTGAAACAGCGAAAGTACCTACAGCTTACTTGCAAGCTGATGCATCGCTCAGGAGACTTTCTACGGCCTACTGGGACCCGACCCCGAGTGGCTGTCTGCCTTCTTGAGAAAGCTGCAGATGGAGCACTTTGCGTGGTCCTTCCAGGACTCAAGTGATGGCACCTGTGATCTGGGATCGAACGTGGAAAGTTCAGGGGCATAGAGGTATGGGGGAGGGGGGGGTATAGAGGCATACTGCACGTTGCAAGTCGAGAGTGTGCTGAACATGCTTGCATCGCGTTTCTAGGAAGGATTGGCTCCGAAGAAATCCTGGAGCTGGGCCTTGGAGCTCCTCGAGGAACTGAGGAGTCAAAGTGGCGTAGATGTGCAGACGCTGCACAGCGCCTACGGGGCCGCCATGGAGGCCTGTCAAAGGGCCTCGCGCTGGGAGCCTGCTTTGGAACTGCTCAGCGAGATCCGGCGGCTTCCAAAAACGCGGCCCACTGCAGCAAACTATCGCTCAGCCATCCTCGCCTGCGAGCGCGCCGGCGAAATGTTGAAAGCTTTGTGGCTCTTAGAGGAGATGCTCGAGGCGGGCCTGAAACCGGATCGAGCCACTTACAACAGTGCCGTTGGCGCCTGCAGAGCGATTCTCAGGACGCTGACAAGCCAGTCTAAGAGCATGTCGCTGCTACAGTCTTCACGTTCCATTAAGATGAAGCAGAGGTCGCAGAACACGCCCCAGAGAGCGCGCCGTAGGGGGAATCTGAAGAGGCATCTACTGTGATCACTGCTCCACTTCTGCGAAGAAAAGGGCACAGCGCAGCATGCGCAGAGTCGACAAGCGCGCACACCTTTCAATTCAGTGACTGCAACAGGTCTCCGGCCAGGGGTGATCGCGGGCGGAGTGTGACAGCAGCGACCTCGGTCTGATCTCTGCAATGGTTCGTCGCGCGGCAAACTGGCAATGTAGTGCTAGTGTGCCTGTCGCTAAGGAAAGCGGGTGGAGAGCATCCTCGCGAAGCAAGGATGGAGTTTAAGCTCAGCCTCGAAGCTACAGGCAGCAAGCGAAACTGAGTCCCAGGACCTTCCATCTGTGCAGCTTCCTGGAATGCCGATTCAGTGGTCATCTCGGTTGACACTCTGCACTAGCAGAGCAACGGCAAGTACTGACGAGCCCAAGAACTGTTTCCTCAGTCTGCGAGGTGGGATGCAGGAATCGACCTGCAGCTCAGGTACGCAATGCTGATGTCATATTCGTCGGCTTCTGCTTCACTTGCATGTCTGAGGAGCAGGAATGCTTCACCGGGGCCATCCCTTGCTGCTAAGAGGTGCTTCGGCCGTGTGGGTGAGTTTGCAGGCCTTTGTGAGCCTTCCTTCCCCGCAGGCGTGCCGTGTCTGTGGGATCGTCACCCGGCAATGTTCATGCATAGGCAGCGGACATGCTTCGTATTCCAGACACGCAGATGTGGAGGTTCGACTGAGGCAAGACGAAGAGAGAGTCCCTTACACGAGAGGAAGGAAGGAGAGCAGGCTCACACATGGACCGCCGAGGTTCGAGCGTCAAGTCACCAGATCTTCATCACAGGCTTCTGTCTCGACACAGCTTCGCATGTACAGTTTGTTTTTCTTCGGGAGATCCATGGAACCAGACCACGGCGCACGGCAGGGTGCCCTCTCGTCAGCTGGCTTCCATGCCCTGAGGCGTGGGAGCTGTGTGTGTGTGTGTGTGTGCGTGTGTGTGTGTGTGTGTCATTGCGCATGTGTGCCGGCATCGCTGCGGTGGGCGGAGTGCGCTTGCCTGCAAAGTGACAACACGTCGTCGCAGGTCTTGAGAATTCTTCCCTGCAAAGCAGAGATGCACTTCACAATGCTTGCCACGGATGTCATGGCAAGGGTTTGGTTTGTGCGTTTGATTGACATTGCGATTTTGGGAAGTTGCGCAATCGCAGTTCCATGAGTTTCACTCCAGCGATTTTCCGCGTCGTGGCCGCTGCAGGTTTGTCACTTGCGGAATCTATAGGTTATCCAAAGCCAAAAGCCGGTAGGAAAACTAAAGCCATCTCATCCAGCACTGGCAGCTGTAGTGGCAATTGCCAGTCCAGCGCGATGCTCTCAGTATCTTGATTCTTGTGACGGCCCGTGTGGCTACCATATTGAGTTATTTTTCATGATCTGCATGATCACGCTGATGATGGGGCTGATGGTGCTGTTAGTGATGATGACAGAGGTCATCATGATGTTGATCCTGGTGAGCCTGGCATTTGCCATTTCTCTATGTACATGTTGGTGCCGAAACTGCAGCGGTGACTTCTCAGCAACTCCGAGGCTTCCGCCTTGCATTACATAACAAAGTTACCCTGATGCATTGCTTTTGCGTACAGAGAAATTCGAGCCTGTTGGAGACCGCTGGGCTTAGCATGATCTCGAAAAGGACAGCTTCTTGCTACTGCGAAGTCAGGAGCTACCTATCGCATGCTTGAGTTTGGCATCGGATGTTACGGAAAAGTCGAAGCTGCATGCAGGTGCAGGATCATTCTACTCTATGCGAGCATTGAGTTAGCACTTAGCACCACGACCGATATAGAGGCCTTTGACAGGTGGTGGTGCCTCACATGGACGACACATGGGTCGACGGTTCCGACACCTGGGCCTGGAAGTGCGGCAAGATGCGAAGGGAAGAGGACTGCATGCTGGTTGCACGACTGATTCTGATGTTGTGCAATTGCAATCAGTGATAGGCAGCTGATCACATCCACAGCGTGGTGTTGAGGTATTGCACTCGGAGCTTCCGCCAGGGTGAGACACTTTTCGTCGGCGAGGTGGGAGTGGCAAAGAAAGTGTAATGCCCACAGAAGCTGTTCTGCATTAAATACTTCGAACTGGGAGGCAGCTCTTCTAGTCTGCCTTCCAGACCTGTGGAAGAACTGCTGTTCGAAATGCCTTGCAAGCAGCTTCGATGCTGATGGCTGCTCGGAGATGTCGGCGGTTTCAGGCTTCTAGTGTTGTTGATGTGTGGCGTGTCCGAGTGCGAGTGCCCAAAAAAGGTCTGAGGATCTGCCAGGGCTGCGGGACAGCGGCATTTTGCTCGTGCTGCTGGGGCGATCCGTGGCACAGCGAGGATGCCATCCGTGAGCACGGGTACGGCGCGCAGTGCGCAAGTAACAGGGAGGCTGCTTTGCCACTTTGGGCTTCATGCGAGGAGTGCCCTGTGCTGGCCAAGCTGCCACTTGGCCTCCGACACTATCACATTGTGACATGCCTGAAGGAATCTTGGGGTGTAGAGGCTGATTAGAGACTGCCGAGTCTGTGCGCCAAGGCTTGAAGCATGCAAAGACCATGCTCGGTCTCGGGGGATCGAAGAGCATGACCACTGGCAGCAGCTGGTCTGCTGTGCCCTCTCAATCTCTCGGCTTTTACGCCTTCTTCACAGCATCTCATCCAAAGATGTGTGTCTGTGCTTGTCCACCCTGTCGCAACGTGCATTGCCGTTACTTCCCATTCCGAGGTGGCCGAGAACCCAAATCTGCTCCGTGTGCCAAGCTTGCCGTGGCCTTGCTTGAAGATTTCGCCGAGCTCTGTACACCACCGGAGGACAGGCCTGATTGGTCCCCATCGCGTGTCCCATCAATCCAATTGTCAGGACATTCCAGGTGATCCACAAGCTTTTGCTGTAACTTTGCATGCATTTGCCAGTACTGCCAACTTGGCCTACTGCTGGTGCACCACTGCCACTTGCCGCTGCTCGTTGCCTTCGCGTTCAGGCGTTGTTGATGGGCGAGCCCTTGAATGCCTTGTTTCCAGCAGAGCTTCGGCACAGCCCAGAGCTGGTAGATGTGATCTGCCACTGCTACGAGCAGTTGAACCTTCGGTGCAATCCTTCTTGATGCAGTGGTGAGGATAGGGAGGCAGGCAAGGTAAGCTGAAGCACTGTTCAGTGTTCACATGGTGTGTTTGTACTGATTTTGCTTCGGGGTCATTGGATGTCTTGAAATTGAGAGCATACAGTTGAGTAGCCCAACCTATGAACTATGAGCTGGAGAGGCAATCGAGAAGTAGTTGAGGCTCGCGGCCTTTCACGGTAGATGCAGTACATCCTGTTGATTCTACACGATGAACAATCGGAGGACTTGCAACAGCTTCTTGGTGTGCAGCGGTGATGCCACGCCTGCTGGCCAGCTCTGCGACCCAATTGCAGCGCTTTTGATGCTCGGAAGCCACAATGAGCTGGGTTTTTTTGGTACCCGTAGGTTTTTTTTTGGTACTGTCGGAGAGTCTTTTTCTCTGCCCTGGGTAGGCCCGGCGCTCAACAGGAGCATTCATGGACAGATTCCGAAGCAAACCCTCCGCCCTGTCCACGGTCTTATTTGTATCTCCTGAACGCGGACAGGGTCTAAAAAAAACTTCTCTCGCACGCACGGATCTTGTTCTACTTCGCCAAGTATCCATGATCAAAAACAGCCTTCCCCTCAGCGGACAGGGCTTTCAGTGCCCCCTCTGCAGCCCCGATCGAGATTCCCCGAGCCCGAGAGTTTGATATCATGTCCTAGCCCAACGACGGGTTTTGAAAGGTCGCCTCGCGGATGCCAAGAATGCCCTCCCCCTGCCACAATGGGGTTTACTTGGGCCCTGCCGGGGGCTTCAAATGGCCCATGAGGCATGAGGAACACATTAAGCCTCGAGGAGGGCAGAAAAGCCTTCACAGGCCACGCAAGGCTTTTTTACTTCTTGACGAGGCTTCATCCAGACGTGCACGTCACGGGTGTTTCTGTGCTTATGTGTTCTTTCTGTTGCTGGTTTTTCCTCCGAGCAGTGCCCTTCCTATTCTCAGCATTATGCAGGGTTTGATCACTGTCACGCCTTTCCTGGGTTCGGGGCTCCCCGCCCTTCGCGGGCTTCCCCCCCTTCGGTTTGCTGTTTGTCCTCAAAATTCTCCAGTCCCTTTCGAGCAGTTTGCTCCTTGTTCTCAACTTCTCTATTCATTTGTTGTTTTTGGTTTGCTCCTTTTTTCCGATTCTCAGGTCTCTTTTTCCCAGAGTCTCTGGTCTCTTTCGAGCGGTTTGCTTCTGTCTCTCAAATACTTTGTTCGCAAACTCGCCAGTCCTGTTCAAGCGGTTTGCTCCTTGTTCTGAAATTCTATAGTTCCGTTCGAGCCGCTTGCTCCTTGTCAAATTCTCTAGTCTCTTTCGAACGGTTTGCTCCTTTTTCTGTTACTTTTGGCGCGGTTTTCTGCTTGTTCTCAAGGTTTTCTAGTCCCTTTCCAGCGGATTGCTCCCGTGTTCTCAAATTCCCTAGTCCGTTTCGACAGGTGTGTTCCAATGTTCTCAAATTCTTTAGTCTCTTTCGAGCGGTTTGCTCCGAGGTTCTCAAATTCTCTGTCTCTTTCCAACGGCTTTCTTCTTGTTTCCGACCCTTTGGAGCGGTTCTGCTCCTTGTTCTGAAATTCTCGAGTCTTTTTCGAGCGGTTTGCTCCTTGTTCTTAGATTTGCTGATCCTTTTCGAGCGGTTTGTTTGCTCCCCGTCTTCAAATTTTCTAATCTGTTTGGAGCGGTTCGGTCCTGGTGTTCTCAAGTTTTCTCGTCCCTTTCGGGCCTTTCGAGCAGTTTGCGCCTTGCTCTCAACTTCTCTAGTCTCTTTGAAAGGTGTGCTCCTTGTTCTCAAATGCTCTAGTCTCTTTCGAGCGGTTTGTTTTTGGTTCTCAAATTTCTACGTGTAAGTAAGTCCTTTTCCAGCGGTGTGCTCCTTGTTCTCAAATGCTCTAGTCTCTTTCGAACGGTTTGTTTTTGGTTCTCAAATTTCTACGTGTAAGTAAGTCCTTTTCCAGCGGTTTGCTCCTTGTTCTCAATGCTCTAGTCTCTTTCGAGCGGTTTGTTTTTGGTTCTCAAATTTCTAGCGGTTTGCTACCTGTTCTCAAATTTACTAGTTGGTTTCGAGTGGTTTGCTCCTTTTTCCGAGATTCACTAATCCTTGTCGAGCGGCTTGCTCCTTGTTCTCAAATTCGCCAGTCTCTTTCGCTTGGTTTGTTTGCTCTTCGTTCTCAAATCCCTTCAGTCCCTCTCGAGCGGCTTGCTCCTTGTTCTGAACTTCTCATCTTGAGCCTCTTTCGAACGGTTTGCTCCTTTTTCTGTTCCTTTGGAGCGGTTTGCTCCTTGTTCTGAAGTTTTCCGGCCCCTTGCGAGCAGATTCGCTCGAAAGGGATCAAGAAATTTATGAACAAGGAGCAAACCGCCCGAAAGAGACTAGAGACTTTGAGAACAAGGAGCAAACCCATCGAAAGAGGCTCGAGAATTTCAGAACAAGGAGCAAACCGCTCCAAAGGGTCAGAAACATGAAGAAAGCCGTTGGAAAGAGACTAGAAAGTTCGAGAACTTCGGAGCCAACCGGCCGAAAGAGACTGGAGAATTTGAGAACACCGGAACAAAGCAGTCGAAACGGACTAGAGAATTTGAGAACACGGGAGCAATCCGCTCGCAAGCTTGAGAACAAGGAGCAAACCGCTCCAAAGTAACAGGAAAAGGAGCAAACCGTTCGAAAGAGATTAGAGATTGTGTGAACAAGGAGCAAGCGGCTCGAAAGGAACTAGACAATTTCAGAAAGGAGCAAACCGCTCGAACAGGACTGGCGAATTTGCGAACAAAGAGCAAGCCAAGCTAAACAGACTAGAGAATGTGAGAAACAGAAGCAAATCGCTCGAAAGCGAAAGAGACTAGAGACTTTGGGAACCAGGAACAAACAGCTCGAAAGATTCTAAAGGAGCAAACTGCTCGAAAACGAATGAATAAAGAATTTGAGAACAGGGAGCACTGCTCGAAAGGGGCTGGAGGACTTTGAGAACAAGGAGCATGCGCCTTGCTCTCAAACTTTCCAGCGGTTTGCTCCTTGTTCTCAATGCTCTAGTCTCTTTCGAGCGGTTTGTTTTTTGTTCTCAAATTTCTACGTGTATGTAAGTCCTTTGCCAGCGGTTTGCTACCTGCTCTCAAATTCACTAGTTGGTTTCGAGTGTTTTGCTCCTTTTTCTGAGATTCCCTAAGCCTTGTCGAGCTTTTGTCGAGCGGCTTGCTCCTTGTTCTCAAATTCGCCAGTCTCTTTCGCTTGGTTTGCTTGCCCTTCGTTCTCAAACGCCCCCAGTCCCTCTCGAGCGGCTTGCTCCTTGTTCTGCAATTCTCCAGGTCTTGTCGAGCCGCTTGCTCCCTTTGTGCTTTCAAGTTTTGTTTGTTTTTTCGATCGGTTTGCTTTCTTCTTCAAAATATCTTGTGTATTTCGCTTGGTTTGCCCTTTGTCTTCACTTGTTTAACTCTATTGCGGTGGTTTGCTCCTTGTTCTGAAATACCGTAGTCAGTCCCTTTCCATCGGTTTGCTCCTTATTCTCGAACTCGTCCCTTTCGAGCGGTTTGTTCCTTGTTCTCAAAGTCTGTAGTCTCTTTCGAGCGGTTCGCTCCTTGTTCTCAAATTGTCTAATCTCTTTGGGGCGGTTTGCTCCTTGTTCCAAATGCACTAGTCCCTTTAAAGCATTTGGCTCCTTGTTCAGAAATGCTATAGCCTCTTTCGAGCAGTTTGTTTCTTGTTCCCAGACACTCTAGTATCTTTCGAACGGTTTGCTGCCTGTTTCCAAGTTCTCTACGTAGTCCCTCTCGGGTCACTATGTGGGCATCCCGGGTTATTGCCAGGCCAGCTGTTCTTGTTGGTTCTTGGTTCCTTTTGAAAGCTTCACGCTTGCACATTGCTTTGATCTCGTGCTTGTTTATGCCAGTGCAGGTTAAACTATGGGAGTGGTAGCTCCAAATTCCTCACATGTGGAAGCATTCATGGCTGCGCAACTCCTGTTTTTTCCTGGTGGAAGCCAGAAATCGGGAGCGATTTCCGAAGACGCTGTTCTGATTTCGGCTGGCGGCGCCCTTCTCCTCCGTGCCGCCCACTATGGCGGCATTCTTTCTCTTGTCTCTTTCGAACGGTTAGCTCCCTGTTCTCAATTGCCCTAGTTTTTTTCGAGAAGTTTGGTCCTTTTTCTCAAATTCTCTGGCCTTTTCCTCGCGGCTTGCTCCTTGTTCGCAATCTCCGCTCGAAATCCAGTGTTCTTCAGTTTTTATGTATCTTTCGAGCGGTCTGCTCCTTGTCCTTAAAGTCTGAAGTTTTTTTGGGGAGGTTTGCCACAAGCTCCTTCCTCTTCCAGGCCCGCTCGGTGGGTTTTGGCAGACTGCCTCTCCACGGTCCTCCCCTCCCCTCCCCTAACTCTGCTTTTCGTTCACTTTCCCTTCCTTGCCCTTCCAGTCCTTCCCACTGCCCTTTCTCGCTTCCTGCTTTCTTCTCCGCTTCCCTGTCCTCTTCCTTGTCTTCCTTTGTCTCTGTGTCTCTCGATCTCTTTGTCACTATGTCTGTCTCTCGCTCCGTTCTGTGTTTCTCTGTCTCTCTTCCTCTTCCTTATCTCCTCGGCTTTCAATTGTCCCGCTCGGTTTCCCTCCGTCTCTCGTCTTGTATCTTTCAGTATTATTTTCTCCCTTTCTTTCCAGTTACTTCTGTGTCTCTGTCTTTCTGTCTCTGTCTCTTTGTCCTGTGTTTTATGTCTCTTTATTCCTATGTTCCTTCGGATTTAGACCGCCACCAGGGCGCGAAACAAACCTTGTATGGCCGATCAGGTTGTTGTTTGCTCCTTAAAGTTCTTTTGTTCCTTCAGCTTTAAGCCCCCAACCCCAGGGCGTGAAACGCGCCTTGTCTTTCTGCCCTACATCGACCCCAAACCCTGAGAATCTGAACAGGGCGCGAAAAAAGACCCCGCGCGAGAAGGTGAGCATGAGGAGCCTTTTCGGGGTGTGAAAAAGAACCCGCCCGCTAGAAGCTATAACCAAAGTTCAGCTCGGTAATTTAGCAGATCTGTAGAGCTGTGTGTTTTCTTGGGTAGCATGCGGCTGAGTGCAAGGAACCATTCTTGCAGTCCCAATGCTGCCATCGTCTGGCAGATTCCGGCGAAGGGCAGGCAAACTTTGCATGCTTTTCGCTGTGCTTGACAACAACCGCGATGGTTGACATATTTGATGACCAACTTGGCATTCTTGACTCTGGCTTTGCGACCAATCGGCGGGTCAGGACACATCGTGTGCAGTGCATCCGTGACCTCAGCGCCGGGGACGAGGTTCTGATCAGCTACGTTGATGCAACACGCCCGTGGTGGATACGCCAACCGTCGCTGTGGCCTCACGGCACATTAGAATCGTTAGATTTGGCTGCTTCTGCAAACCTTTGTTGAGTTGCCTGCAAGAATTTGTTTTTACGACAGGAAGGCAACATATGGCTTCATTTGTGATTGCGCCGTGTGTCGGCCGATCAGTGCTTGGGAGCGTCGGCTGCCTATATAGTAGAATCATGAAAGGCTGCACATGTTGCACCATTGCCTGAAACCATCTTGAACCGTGACCGTAAAAACACCGAGGTAGTGTGGCCGTTGGGGCCCGGCCGACAAAGCTCCCAGCGGGGATCGAGGAAAGCATCGCAGCCGTGAAGGCAGCCGACGGGCCGATGAGCCTGCGTTGGTTAGGCAAAGAAGTCTTAAAGTCTCGACAACAGTGTTGGGATTGAAGGGACTTCTTACTTCTCTTTCTCCGGCCAACCCGACTTAAGGACCATTCTGATGATCAGTGCTGAGCGAACCAGGGCATTGGGCATGTTTCTGCGCAAAGAGATGGGCATCAACGTAGAAGTGGCATCCGACAAAGACGCCCGGCAGCAGGTTTAGTCCCTTGGCATGTTGCGCAGCTGGGCTGCGAAACTGAGGATATTTGCCGGGCTCCTTGGCTTCAGCTTGATGATGTCTGATGTGCAGCACACTCAGCCTCCCGCCTCGTCAAAATCGAAGCCAACAAGGTTGCGGATGCTGCCGCTGCAGTTGGGCAGCTGGCCGGCAGCCCTGGCCAGCTCAATTGTGAAGAAGCTCGGAACAGGCGCACGCCCGCCTCCAGAGAGGACCTACCTGTAGTGGCTTTGGAGTGCCCGTGCCAGGCTTTTGCAGCTGCGTCCGGCTTGGGAGAGTCTCTTGCAGCTTCTGGGGCCGCGGCACATGCTCCTCCGAGAGCTGATCAGCACCCCAGCCTACAGCAGTTGACTCCAAGATTTGCTTCGGCTGTGGCTATATATACATCGCTTGGGCCGAGGTGTTCTGTGCATCGCAGAAATTGCGGAAGACTGGAAGACCTGTATGGAGTTGGCTCCAAAGGTTCTAACCGCTTTGGGAATCCCAGATGAGGAGATGTCATCCAGGAAAGCAGCGACTGGGCAGCTCCAGTATTAAGAAGTCCAAGCATTCCAAGCAAGCATTGCCTGCCGTTGGGTAACACCGAGCCAAGGAGGTCTTGGCACTTCTTGCAATCGCGAAGATCAGGAGATCAGATGGTAATTGTGCTGGCAGGAGCGAATCACGTCTCCCAATCGGTGCAGGACTGCCGAGGATGGTGCCTCGCAGCTGGAAGCCCAGTCAGAGAGTAAGGCCGCGCTGGAATCCATGGTGTGGCTCTATGGGCGACTCGTCTGCACTTGCACATGCAATGAGCGCAACAGGTTCCAGCAGATGCACTTGTGTTCCAGGGAGAACCTGCCAAAGCAGTCCCGAGTTCTCACACTGCAGCACTTGCTACATGAGAACGTGGCGATGGACCTGGACAGCATGGATTGACTTCCTCTGCGACACCAGTCACCGGGTTCGAGAACTCCAGAAGTTATCTACAAAGCAGGACGAGCATCGAGGAGTACTCGTAGCACTGAGAAGGAAGCGAAGGCGGCCCAGGCTGGCTGTCCGTTTAAGGCCAAAGGACGGATTCGGTGCCAGCTGCCAGCCGAGACCAAGGCCTTCGGAAGTTTCGACTCAAACCAGGGCCAGGTGAAGATCTTCTCATCTCCTCAGCAGAAGGTTCGCTTCGCACGTGCCCTGCCATCTGCCACGCCGTTGGAGCCGACGCGTCTGCCTGAAGACTCTACCATTCCGGCGGCTGCTTGCGCAGGTGTCGAGTAAGGTAGAAGCGATTGCAAGCCCACCGATAAGTGAGAAAAGCGTGTTGCCGAGCACCAGCTGAGACCTCAGCCCTAGTTCGATGAGCCTTTTCAGGCTTGCCAACAGCTGTCATTTCGCACCTGGCTGGTGGCATGGGCTCCCGAGTACAGTAGTTTTAGGTTTCGGAGTTCTGGGCCCTCTGCCTGTCGTGCCTGCTTTGATGCGTGCCGTGGCCTCGGAAATGGACTCGAAAGCCCGCAGGAAAAGCTTGCAGCACTGCATGTAGTGACTCTGTGCAGGGGCTTTCGGTGGCGTGCCTTGTGCTGCTAGCACAGCTTGCCCTCTCTGTTACTTGCCTTGAAGAGTTGCACCCGAACTTGTGAGTTTCATTCAAGGCATCATACACTGCAAAGAACGTTTCGGACTGTTACTGTAGTGAGCGGTAAGGCGTCTCCCGAGACAAATGCAGCAGAGACTGCGAAGGCCGGGTTTTGGACATTGCCGGACGGTTTTCTGGATACTAGAGCCGAGCTTTGAATTCAGGGGGTCGCAGATGATGCGGACCTAGACCTGGATGATTTGGAGAACGACGATGAGGACGACCTCGATGAGGCATTGGGCCGAGACTCAGCCAGTGCCACTGCCTTCGGCTTTTGTGGAGGTCGATGGCGCAAGTGCAGGACGGGGCTGAATCAGACGGTGTTTCGAGCCCGAGCATTTAGTAGTTTAGCCGACGGAGGAGAGCCTGAAGCAGACGATTTCGACAAGGACGGATTTTCCGTCAGGTTGCGCAAATGCTGGCACCAGCATCTCGCCTTCAGGACATGCCAGAAGAAGAACGCACCATGCGAATGAAGATTTGCCTGGCAGGCAGGGATATGGCTTTTGTTTGTTTACCTTCTTCATGCATAGTGTTGCTATCGTAGAAACAGAGGACAAAAGTACAGACAGTCGAATGATATGCAATGCACCATGTGAGCAATGTGACCCAGGCAACCTGCACACGAAAGGTGCTGAGATCTAGGGGACCAGCTGCAGGAGAATCAGGAACACAAGAAAGCAAACTGGTCCGAAGCCTTTCGGGGTCATGAAGACTTCGGAAGCTTAAAGAGCCACGCCGGGGGCTGCAATCACATTCTAAGGTACAGAACTCACTTGTTGTACTGGGCTGTGTCTTCGGCTGACAGCTCCAGCATGGGCATGCCGGAACTTTCCTATCCGTGCTTTCCGACAAGGGCAGATTGCCCTCAAGCATCGCTCGTGAGTCGCCTTCAGAACAATTTCAGAGACACTGATCTGATGCCACCGCCTTGTACTCATCAGTTCCTGGCCAAGTCCCTTGCCAGTGCGAATCCGAATTACCAGCACGCTGTCCTTTGAGACAGAAAACTGTCAAAAGCAGACTTCCTCAGACGGGGCAAGTTTGCCACCGCACATGCAACCGCACCTCTCATCACAGCGTCTCGGCCCGTGTTGTTGCAGGTGCCATGGCGAGGCCGCTCAAGGGGCAAAAGGGTTTAGGTTCGATCGTTCGATCCCTCGAAGATTGGCGCCATATCCGATGCTGCTGTGCGCTGGGCAAGAATGTGTGCAGGTTACAAACACACTCCGAGGAGGTCTCCCAGCTGGCCGCACAGCCTCTGAGCTGCGTTCAAGGCCAATCTATGCCTATGCAGCATCCTGTACACTTGTCTGGTTCCATAGCATGCTTTCGGCTCACACCAAGGTTGTTTGCTTAATCTTCTGTGAGAATGCATAGGCTTGCAGGCAGAAAGTGCGGTGAACGTGCTGATTTTGTTTATATGTCTTGAGCTGGCCAAGGCTTGCTGAACGTGGCCTGAACAAGCAGCAGGCTTCTACTTGTACCACGGATTGCCCTCATTCTTGCTGTAGGCAATTTAGATAATTTCCCCATCCTCCAGGCAATGAACTCCATCTTCTATACGTGGATGATAACGCCCTGCCCCCGGCAGCTGAGTTTTGTCATGAGAGCCATCTGACTGCGAGAGCCATGCAGTGGTTCACTCGTAGACTCGTAGACCTTGTGAAGCGAGCTCATCACACTTGCATAACGTGTGTGTTTGTTGTGCGCAGGATAGCTGCGGTTCTGTAACCCTGTACCAGAACAAGGTCTTAGGTGATGTTCAGCAGGTATAGCACTCTGGCGACCAAGATGCAAGAAACAGAAAACGACAGTCTGAGAGCGCCTGCTTGCCCGGACGGCCTGGAAGCAAGGCCATGGAACGTATCAGGCGCATTCGGTGGTCGAAATGGAACAGGTGCTGGAAGGCCGGTTGCCTAGTCTGGCTGCTCGCTGGACTGGAAAGCATCAAGAGCGAAAGCTTTGCTGGACCTCGCCGTGCGCTTCTGGCTACCCTTCCATTTTTCTCCTTGGCCAAAGCCAATGCAGAGGTGACCATCGCTACCACTCAACTTCCGCCGCGAGACGCGCGGAAAGACGAGGAATTTGCCAAGGGCATGGCATATGGCATGGTCGATTACGAGCGCGCAGTGTCGAAGAAGAAGCGTGCACTGTTTTCGAAGCTGTGGGGCCTGCTGCCTCCAAACCCCGTCGTGGTCGAAGTGGGGATAGGCAGCTTCCCGAATGCACTGTACTTCGGCTCGAAGTCGGCACCCAGGTCCATGGACGTTGTGGGCATTGACCCCAATGAGTATATGGAGCGGTATGCTCTCGAAAACGCAAAGAAGGTCGGCCTTCTGGAACCGGAACGTGGCAACTCTTTTCGTTTCGCGAAGGGCATCGCCGAGGCTCTGCCCTTGCCAGAGCACAGTGCTGATGCAGATTCTCAGCTGCAGGAAGAGAAGCCAGCAAGGGAGAAGGCAACAATAGCAACAGATAGCAACTCAGTCCCCAAAAAAGGCAAAAGAACAAGAGAAGGCTGCATCATGGAAGGAAAAGTAGAGCCCCTTCCGACAGAAGGAGAGGGTTTGTCAACGATGTCTCTATGATGTCAGATGTATTGCGATTTGATTCCGATAGTTGCAGGTGATTTGTACGCTGACCCTGTGCTCCGTTGCCAACCCGGACCACGCTGTGTCTGAAATTCGGCGAGTTCTGAAGCCTGGTGGGTACTATTTATTCGTCGAACACGTGCTATCCGAAACCAATGGCTTCATTGCAACAGCCCAAAGGTTGGCAACTCCGGACCATGTGCTCGCTGCTGATGGCTGTCACTTTGACCGCCGTACACTCCAGAATATCGAAGCCGGTGGTTTTGCCAAGGTAGATGGGGAGTACTTTGAGCTTGAGAACTGTGGCTTTCTCAATCCCACCGTTGCTGGAATTGCTACTGTTTGATCGCAAGATCACACCAAAGTGATGTGTGATTTTTGGCAAAGAGACCCAGTGTAATCGAGCGCGCCCCGCAAAAGTGCGGTGCTGGCGTGTTCCGGCTGTGCACTTGTTGCGCCCCTTTTGTCAAGGGGCGCGCCATGCATGCGATGCCTCCACTGCAAGTGGCACTCGGTCTTTGCAGCTGTGATGCATCTGGTGCCTGTCGTTCAGGTGCTACGTGAAAATCCCAGACGCGGACGCTAAAGCCGCAGCGGACGGCAATTCCGATGTTCTGAAGGAGAATAATATCGAGCCGTCGCAATCTTGATCACTGTGACTACGGTCTGCTGCGCTGCTGCCTGTGAGACTTTTCAGGATGCACAGCTTTATGAACCGCCGGCCAAGGCAACCCATGTTTTTGCAATGTTGTTTTGCCTTTCCACTTTGTCCGGCTTTCTTGGGCTTCAGGCCTCCAATAGGCAGTGGTCCTTGCTGGAGACGGTGCTGAAGGAGCGGCTGGGCAGATGTTGCTTATGACCTGCTTGCCCCGCGGACATCAGCGCCACACAAAGACCGGAAAAAAGCCAGTGGGGAGAGTAGTAACAGCATGGTTGCTTGAAGATGTTTGAGATCTTGCCTTTGACAGTGGCCACACTCGCACAAGCCGAGTGCACAGAAAAAGCCAATCGAGCGGGCCGCTGCTTTCGCCTAACAAGATGTTCTCGCGGTTCCTGTCAGGAGCACGTGGAAATGCAGCAAGAGGCAATGAAGAAACAGGAGGAGCAAAAAAAGGCGACAAAGTGCAGAGTGTCGACCTTTTGGAAGAGCCTTCTTGCACGGCGGTCGTGTCAATGAGTCGTTTGCCAGGCTCAAAGCCAGAGCCAGCAATCACGAAACGCAGGCCGGGCCGGACTCAACCGCTCATCGCCCCTTTCAATCGCACTGCTTCCTCTCAGGGCAGATGCCGCAGGACCTAGTTGCGATGAGCCTTTGAGGGCCCTTTGATGGTCTGAGAATCCTCTGGGCAAGGAGCCTCCTGCTCCTGGCGGCTCTGGCAGCAAGGTGCTCCAATTTCTGATCTTCCGAGCCACAGCATTGCATAGCGGCATAGCAGTGCTGAGCATGCGGCATGCAGTTGTACATGCTCGTGGCCCTGGGCTTCATCTTCGGGGTCATCGGCCTTGGAATCATGCTCCTCATGCAGAAGGACAGGAAACCGGTTTTGTCCGGTGCTGCTCAGCACTGCCTGCCCTGCCAGCAAGAAGTCGGAGGAGAGAAGTGAAAGAAACGAAAAAGATCGAAAGAAGGACAAGAAGGCCAGATGGTCCGCGAATTGCATCTGCAGTTTCTGCCAGCTGCCAACTCTGTGCCCCATGGTGCCAGGCTTCAAAGAAAAAAGCGTAGAGGCGCATCATGAAGTTGTCTCGAAGCCGTCTCACTGGTGGTGTCCCCTGTGGTGGGACCGGTACGTTTGCTTACTCAAACGTTCCATGCAGCCTGATGGCCAGAGACAGCTATCGGGGAGGTGAGTGTGAAAAAAATATCACCCACCGACATGTCGGTCTCGTGCTTTGTGTGGCGGTTCAAAAGGCTTCCTTGGCGACAAGGTCCCACGTGCATGTTGGCGACAGCAGCTCTTGTCGAGTTACTTGGGTTTGCACTGTCGGCTCCAGGAAAGTACTGCAGGACTGGTCGGAAAGTAGAAGCGTTCAATCTGGCGCATGAACAGAGACAATCAAGTTATTAACCGTGCCCCGCAGTACAGCGGAAAAGCCTGTAGCATCGTCCCAGCGACCTCCGCCTTGTTCCGAAATCATGCTCGCCTCTCAGAGAGCTCAGAGAGCTTGGTACCCAGCTCTGGGCTTGGAATTTTCTTCCAGGTCCAACAGCTTGGCTTCTGCACGCATGGCCAGCGCGGGGCAGGACGGGGCTCGCAGCTTACGGCCATCTCTCCGCTGCAGGGAAGCTTGCAACAGGCCATGCCGCTCGAGGCTGCCCGGAATCGAAGTACGTCAGCTCGGCATTCTTGCCTCCTGAGTGCTCGACTACTAGCGAAGCCTCAAGGAATGTCATGAGCTTGCCAGGGCCATGATGCACAAGTTGCATGTCCTGGAGGACAAGTGCGCAGCACATGAATTTGCACGAGTCTGCTCAGGATCTCGAGACGAGTCTTATTGGAATAATTCTTCGGAGATCTATTGATAGTCACATGCTTCTGCCACAGCAGTCCCGACCCACGTGAGTCTATGAAGCCCACCACCACCACCACCACCACCACCACCACCACCACCACCACCACCACCACCACCACCACCACCACCACCACCACCACCACCACCACCACCGATTCTGGCTCTGGCATGCGAGACTTCAGGTACGTGAAAGATTGGTCGCAGAGGATCGATCTCGAGGTTGGCTCGAAATATTCGGTGATGATCACGGGACATGCAAGCAAGCATGTGGCTTTGCAGGTGAGATCGAAAGGCGACATGGGCCAGCACATCGTGCAGGACGCTTGCAAGCAGATGCCTGCGGCCGTCTTGAGGCTGACTGAGCATCCCTCTCAACAGGCGCAGCATCAATGGGAGAAGAGCCGAGAGTCGCCGCCACAGATGCGCAGCCATGCTAAAAATGTGACTCTTTGACAGGTTGAGACTTGTTAGCTGCGTTTTAGCTTCGTGTCAAGATGAAAAATCGCCAATGCCCTACACACTAGAAGTACTGCAAATGGACATGAACCAAAGCAGCATTGCCAAGAAGCTGACGAATCCTTCCCCACCAGCAGCCTAAGCCGAGCAGAACTGAGCAGACTGTTCCGCCTCTGGAGCCATGGCTCTGTTGCTTTCAAGCACAGGAGTGGCCGAAAGGACCTCGGTTCCCCAGCACCCCGCACCGGCGAGACAAAGCTTACCCCGTACTTCAACGGATCCACGGCTTCCACGATCGTGGCTCCTGGCCGCTGTGCCGTTGACGGCTGCAACGTGTCGGGTGTCCCGGCATCAAAGGTGTCAAACCTTGCGAAAAGCACGGGCTCCGGAAGCAGATTCGGAGACACCCCGACGAGTAGCACTGACGGTGTTGGGGACGGCTGTAACTGTGACAGGGGTTGATGCAGCCTTCCGAGCTTCTGACGAGAGATACGCTGCACTTGGTACAATTCTGGCACCAGCACCTTACAAGGAAACGCTTCGAACCGAGCTTGTTCCTGGACGCATCTGGGGCTTCGAGCAGTGCATCGCCTTGGCATCTGTTTCGACCAACATCCGCATGACTGCCGTGAAGCTGCGGGACGGCGGGCTGTGGGTTTCGGCACCGATAGCTCCAACACGGCAGTGCTTGCGCCTGTTGGATGAGCTTGGGAAGGTGGCTCATCTGGTGATCCCTTCCACGGCTTTGGAGCATAAAGCTTCCATAGCGGAGTTTTCACGCGCGTATCCGAAAGCAGAAATCTGGGTGACGCCGGGCCAGGCTCCTCCAATTACCGTTCCCAGCAACAGCCGCATCCTAGGCCAAGGTCCTGCACCGGTGTGGGCTGACGAGCTGGACTGCAAGATATTTTATGTTTCTCCGCCCATTACGGACACATTTGCCGAAGCGGTGTTCTTCCACAAGGAAACCCGCAGCCTACTGGTCACAGATTGTGCACTCAAGTTGCCGTCAGCAGCACCAAAGATCCTCGAAAGCTACGGCTACGACGGGACTCCAGGGCCTATCTCGTTAGACCAATGGAGGCCATGCTGAGGACCCACCCCACCCCCCCACCCCCAAACATGGTGATGCAGATGCCGGATTTCGGGAGGTACAAAGCGATCGCTTTCGATTTCGTGACCGGGCGCAACCAGGACGAGAAGGCTCGTGCGGCTGATGCCGCTGTGACAATGCATGGCGCGTGAAGAAGTTCCAGCTACGAGATTGAACATCAACCCAATTAAGGCTACTGGCAAGCACCAAGCACCATCATATGAGGTGGTTCGTCATATTGCGTGCCTGGGTCTGGTGACTGCCGGACTCCTTAATTCTCACAAGCAGCTAGCAAGTACGTTTGCATGCGGGGAGGATCCCAACAAAGCGGAGAAGCATCCATGATTTGCCGTCGTGGCTAGGGCTATGGTGCGTGAGTAGGACCAGCACCTTGTCCAGACCTTGTCTCAGCGAGGGGCGGGCTAGGGTCAACACTCGTACTAGTAACGTAGATCAAGACCAGACAGGAAGCTGACATCACTGAGTATTATTACTTCGGTCCAGCCTTCTCTGACGGAGGACTTCGCGGCACTTTCGCGACCAGCAGCTTTGGTCAACCCGCTGCCAGCGGCCCACAGGAGGGCTTCGTCCTGTACAGGCATTGTGCGGAAACCGAGGTTGCGATTCATCGTTTATCGGCGTTGTCCGGAGCAAGCGGCTGCCGGAGCCTCGAAGCCACTCCAAGGTTCATTGGACATCTGTTTGCTTCCAACCGCGGTTTGCTGAGGCCTGGGTGAAGGATGTTGCCAGGCCCAGGGCACGGTGAAGACATTCCGCGAAGGAACTCAGTCTCGTGTTGCAGCAGTCTGTCTTCTGCAGGTGGCCATTTGTCCGCATCATTCCGGCGCATTTACAGGTGCGTGGTTCTGCTAAGTCTGCTGGTATTCAGCCGTCCGACGCTTCCGCGAGGCTCCTTTTGATTGCACACCAGCTCAATTCTTGGAGGCGCTTTACGCAGATGTCTGCTGGGCAAGATAGCCACAGAGCAAGTCTTGCTAGGCATTCGGCTTTTTGTTTGGCAAGAAGACCTCTTGGGAGCCAGAGGAGATCCGTCGTTGTCATGTGTAGGTGGAGGGTGTGGGCAAGAGACTGCAACCCATTCAAAGCAAACGGTCATGAAGAGTCAACCCATGATCGGATAGGATGAGCAGCTGTCCTTCCTACGTGGAGTTCGTGACATCGTCGGAGGTGCCATGAGTGGATGACCACCGGTAGCCGACTATCTGAAGGACGGTTCTGAATCACGAAGGCTAGCATGGTGACTTTGCGTTTCTGTCTGCTTCAGGGGTGTGACCTAGCCGAAATGCAGACTTTCGCAGCGGCAGTCTTGAAATCTCATCCGTTCGTCCCGCCTGAGCCCCTTCGTTCGTTGGTGTGGTTTGCACCACGATGCTGAAAGCGGACACTATGGCCTGATGCATTCTGCTGCACTTGCACGACCAAGTAGACTCACACATGCCCAGCACGTGCCGGGCAATGCATCTATCGCCAACCGCGGGTGTGGCCGTATGCGCAGCCTCCTGGGTCAATCCCTCCCTGCCAGGTCCAACTTTCTAACTTCTGCCTGGAGGAGCACAGATGCCTGCATGATAACCATGTTAGACGAGGGTTTTCGTGGTCGATCCCACCACAGTTTTCCAGGCAGGCCGCCCTCAAAAAGTAGCGACGCACCTGCGACTTGCGATTTGTTTGTTGTGTAGAAATATGGATCCAGAAGTGGGCATCGGGTCTTCTGACTCGCGCTCTAAAGACTTCCTCGCGAGCAGATTTCGGAAAGAAAGTGCGACTGCATCGTCAAAGAGTGTCTTCATGCCGACATGTGCAGCAACAGTGGCTTGCTGTGACAGCGGCCAAGGCGATTTCGTAGCGGGAACGAAATCTGGGCAGCACGTGCAGAGGCTGCACACCAATGGCGACAGTTCCAAGGCCAGCAGAGCTGCAGTACCTGGCTCTCGTGCCTGTCAGGCAGCCTGAAACCCTGGACTATCCTGGAGTCAGGAGTTGTGTTACCATAAGGAAATTGGGGCGAAGTGTGCTGAAATCATCCTGGACAAGTCGAGATTGAGCAGCTTTGAGCACTATCGGCTGTTGTATCATCTCGTATGGTTCCCGGGTCATTGGACGTTGTGATCTACTTTTGGTTGACGTGTTGGTATTTGATATCAGGAGTTTCCAAGGATAGTAAGATCGAGATGCCCTCGCGCTGTGCTCACCGACCGTCATACCGTACGAGTGTGACTGCCGAATCTGGCCAGCTCAGCGGAAGTTCGACAAGTGTGCCAGCGCGGTTGCCCTCTACGAGCAGAAGATGTCAGATTACGATGCCTGGCAATGCTTGCACGTTTTCCGCGGGGTGCGGTGGCACAGGCGTAGCTGACTATGAGTTCTATCCGCACCAGCCAGGCGTGATCGGGTGATGGAGGCGCCACGCACAGAGCTTGCGAGGTGCCCTCATTGCCTTGTCGCCACATGAGGCTTTCCGAAAATGACCAGTTGCTGTAATAGCAGGATCCTAGCATGCAATCTCTGTACTCGGGGACCGCAATTTTCGAAACCCTCAGCATGTTGCCGTGAGATGGAAACTGTTGCGCCCTTCCAACACGAGGCGGCGCGATTGGCTGACGTCTCAACAAGGGCACTCGCTCGCCAGCTCCTCGGTTTCTTCGCTTTGCGATTCCAGATCTGTGTTATGTCTGAAGGCTGAAGTCGACAAGTACCACAAAAGTCGTCTGGGATAGCACGGCACCGCGGGAATTACATCCCGTTAGCTACATAGTGACATAGGACTGTGTTACCAGAGCATCCCCGAGCTTATCAGAAACTTTTGAACCTATGTAATTAGTACTTGTTGAAGGTATGATATGCCTCTTCCAATGATCAGAACTCGGGGGCCTGCATCCTGCTTTGTGTTTCACCTGCCGCCCTTCAAGAATTGAAGGATGACGGGCAGCTGATAGCATCTGAAGATGCAAAAGATCTGGAAGCGCAGAGCATGGCACAGGCGCTCTTGCTGACAGAGCCTTTGCCCAAGCCATCTCCAGCCTGTCGGGTCGACCTCCCATGAGGCCACGTTTCATGAAGCCCGAGTGCGGACGAAACACTCCTTCTGGCTTGGCTCGAAGATCCACGTCCTTGTCAGGACAATGATGAAAAATGCTGTCACGAAAGATCGCGAAAGCAGATTGGCATTGTTGCAAGAAGAAGGTTTGCGAATCCAGTCAGTTGCCCCATGAAGCCAATGTCGTCAACAACACAGTTCGCAGCCGGAGTCTTGGAGTGCCGCCTTGGGTCGTGAAGTAAAATAATGCAGAGATGCAGACTGACTGGTGTGCCAGAGCGCGACTTGCAGCAACTTACACTTGCAGAGCCAGGTCGCTGCTTTCCTTCTTGTCCGTCTTGCGAGCTGCGATGCAGATGCTGCCCCCAACAGCACAAAGGCTCGATTCGCGGCGGGCAGCTACATGTTCTTGCAGCCGTGAAGAGTCGTGCAAGCTTGCACGCGGGAGGTTGGAATGAAAGTCACTGGCCAGGCAAGCCCGGCAAGAGTAAATGTGCGTACGACTTTCGCGGACGAAAGCGTTGCATTTTGCACGCAAGGACAATTCAACCTCCAGCTCTATCAATGGAACCAATGGAACAGGGATCTTGGAGGCCCTTGTTTTTTTTTTGCATCGCTTCCGAAGCATCCCTCCTCCCTCCTCGAGAACTTCTGGAAATCCCTGGCCCTGGATGCTATGTTGGATCAACAGGAGGTCATGGACATCGAATCTCGGCCCATGTTCGGCATGGTTCTTGGCGGGTTGGCCGTAGCCTCAGGGTGTGCAACGGCTTGCACATGACACGCACCATAAGCTCAGCGCGCGGCATGTTTGGCGAGCTCAGGTTGCCATTTGTGCAGTCATCTCCTTTTGGCAGTGCTTCAAGTGGTCCGCGGCTTGTGCCTGTGCCATCAGGTGCCACCTTCCGTGATGCGCACAAAATCATTATGTGTTATGTCAAGGCTGACAGGGCCAAAGCGAACGCCGGCACCTCTTCTGGCTGATACAGAGCTGACAGAAGGGGACTGGCTCTGGCAAAGAGAGTGTCGATTTCTTGTTGCGATGTCAAGCAGGCTGTGTTCAGAAAGGAACCGGATGAAAGGTGTGCAGCATGTGTTGCATGCCCGCGACGGCATGGATCAATGGGTTCCATGACAATCAAGTACCTCGAGTGGAAACGGAAGTTGGTTTTGGGTTTTGGGTGTGGTGCGCAGAATCGCTCAGACGATCGCGGATGCATGAGGATAGGAGGATAGCTTGCCCTGTTTTGAGTGGCTGGGCGCTCGGCTCTGACAAGCACTCATGGCGACACAAACCTAAAGGCGAATCGGTGGAAGAGCTCAAACGGGAGTAGCACGCTGCAAGGGCAAGGCAAGACAGGTTGCAGGTACATGAAAGGCACCAATCCGGAGCAGAAATCTGGATTCGATTCATTTCGATTCTACCTGTTGCACCCTCGCCTACGCTACGACCACTGGTCAGACGTCGAAAGCGACGACTTCGGTCGTGCCATTGTGATGGCATGCGATAGCACGATCAGCTGTCAGCGCCGTGCTGCAGGACCCAGTGCATGGAGATCAACCCACCGGCTTATGGTGTGGATCCCAGAATCCCAGAATACCGCGAGCAGTTTTTTCTGAACGTTTGTCAATTTGATGCCATGAGGATGGGAGGGACTGGGCCAGCTCGTGAGCTCATGTCCGGCACCTCCGCCGGCTTTACTCAGCAGCGGTCCTCAGCAAACCCACGGAGCCAGGAACCCGCTAGAACACACTCGACTTGCGCCTGCACTCAGGTTTTAGGCGGAGCCCGGCAACTCCTTTAAGCAAGAGTTTGCGCAAGCGCTCCTGAGGAGCACTTGGCTTGACCTCTGGTGCAGCAGGGCACATGCTCCATCATCTGGTGTGCATGAATGGCGAATGGCAGCCACTGCCCACTTGACGCATGATCTCCGCCTGCACCCTGTGATCCTGTAAAATCTTGTGAGCCTGTTGAGGGCACACAGGCCTCGTGCAGTCGACGCTTGTGGAAGTGCCTGAATCCTAAGATCGTATACCACAATCAGGGAGCGGACCTTCTTGGCCTTTCCCGTGCTATGAGGACGAATGCCAAGTCGAATGCACGAGCACGGAACAGATTCGCTTGTCTTGAGTTTTCCTTGGCTGTGCATCTAGAAACTGCTGGCAAGAACAGAGCCATGTGACGGAAAAGTAAAAATCGAGAACGAAAACAGCAGCAGTGTCATGCCGTGGCAGGTATGCTGTACATCTCTTCGCTTCGGCGCATCGTTGTTTTCCTTTCGGAGCGTGCTGCACTGGTGTTTCGTCGGCGAAGCTTTGCTGGCTCGAGACTACACGCATCTTGGTGTCTCAAAGCAGCTCATGTCGAGAATGCTCGTCGAAGGTCTGCTCCCCAACCCCGAACCCTCGTAACAGCGTCGATAGTCGCTCAAAGAACTCAGACGCCTCATGACGGTCGGAACTCTCAAACCTTTGGGTCCTGTGTTGTGAGTCATAAACCGAGCCCCACTGAGAGTAGACTGGAGTAGTCTGAGTTAGTTGTGCGCCCGAACACAGAGACCTCGTCTGGCGAGTCCGAGTTGCGAGAGTAGCGTGCCCAACCACGAACCCTAAAATGTGTCCCTCCATGTTACAAAGGTTGGCGAAATTGGCCAATTAATGACACTAGGAATGAGTCTTCTTCTTCGCCTTTCTACCATTTTCTACCTCTCTCTCTCTCGGTCTGTCTTCTAGTGTCTGTCTGTTTGGCTGTCTTTTTGTCTGTCGGTCCGTCGGTCGGTCGGCCTGTCTGTCTCTCTAGGTCTGTCCTGTCTGTCTCTGCCTGTTCCGTCTGTCCCCTGTTTCCTCTGTCACGGTCTGTTCTGCCTGTCTCGGCTTGTTCTGCCTGTCTCGGTCTGTCCGTCTTGCTCTGTCTGTCCGGATTTGTCCATCTGTCTGTCTTTTTCTTGTCTGTCTCCGCATCTTTCTCTTTGTCTGTCTGTGTTTGTGTTTGTCTGTCTGGGTTTATACGAGCATGTCACGGAAGCTAGCTCTTTGGAGCTTGTCAGAGTTGTCGTTTACCCTTCACAAAGGAAGAAGAACTTCAAAATTGCGGGCAGGACCTTATCTGGTCCGTTCATAATAGTTAAAGGGTAGGCTCACGTCTGACCACTTGGCTAAGCTGCCACTATCGAAACTGCTCGTAGATGGCCGATTATTGCTGACGCAGGGACACTCCGACGCGCAATGAGGTCGGTCACGGCACTACGATACGACAAAAGTGTGCATCCACGCTGCCCTGTCGACTCCGCTGATTGTTTTCGCGAATGTGGATGTGTGATTCCAGGAGTCAGCTGTGGCATCATGTAACTATTGCACGAATTTGCGCATCGCGTTCTTAGCTGTTGTGTCTCTACAATCACATGATGGCGCAGTTGCTGTTGCGAACATGTCACTGGCAGCAGAAACAGTCTCTGCCAGCGTTGCTGCGGTCGTGTGGCCTGGTTTTCGTAGCCCTCGTCTCAAGTTTGTCTGTCTGTCGAGTTATTTCCGGATTGAGGTGTCTCTCTCGACTTATTTTTCTCCCTCTCTCTCTCTCTCTCCCTCCCTCCTTCCCTTTCCCTCTCATGTTCTCGCTTCATGTCAATGTCTTGGTTTCTCTGTATCTCTCTCTCTCTCGCGTACTTTCTCTGTTTCTTTCTCGTGTTCTCTACAACCTCTTTTTTGTTTTGTTGGTTGCTTGTTTGTTGTTTTATGTGTTTGTTTGTCTACTTGTCCAGGTTGCTCCCAGTGAAGACTTCAGGCACGCAACGGCGTTCAACCTACTGAACCTACTGTAGACTTGGAAGTGCTGGGAGGCGCACGGCCAGAAATATCGGTATCACTTCGCGAACAGATCTGAATCTTGAAAAGCAGCCGGAACAGCTGACTCGAAGTTGGATTTGTGGATAGGGCAAGACTGCGCAGACATGGACAGCAATGGTACTCTGCTGCATGTGTGGGGCGCGGTGCTCAGCTGGCGCCTGTGTACACTGACGAGTCGCTTCGCATCACTTCGCTTCGAGGTGGAAATCACCTCCACCGTGTCGGCGGGTGCACGCTGCGCTGCCGCCTCGGGGCCTCGGGCCGGACTGTGCCGAGAGAGCACACGCTGTCATGCCATCTGAGCTCTGTTGCAGTCGCATAGCGGCCTAGCTACAATGTGTTGCATGGCTCATGGCATGTGCAGCCGTGCAGCTTCTGCCCTTCGGCATTGCACGTCGAGGTGCAATGCCTGCGCAGCGAGGCACGAAGAAGCGGGACGACGCTCGGACGGTGTGTTGTTGAATCCGCAGGTGGATGTTGCGGCCGGTGTCTCCCGACGAGGGAATGTGCACCAGCACTGGCCCTATGCTTGCGTCACCTGCTGTTGGTGCAAAGGATAATGGAACTCTGCCGGACAGTAGGAAGGCTTCAACCGGGAACTTCAATGCCAAAACATGCCGAAACCAAGCCGTGTCTGCTATTTTTGTTCTGAAGTTTTTGTGGCATTCGGGCGGAACCATGCACGATAGATCAGGGCAAGCGGCCGGCGTGCTGAAACGGGATCGGCCTGCCGAGCGGCGAGCAACTCTTTGCGAAAGCGTGTGTTCCCGGCGCAGCGGAAAGTGAGAGAGCAAGCCGCACAAAGTAACACAACGCCTTCGTAGAATAGCAGGCGAGTCGGAATGTGACCGTCACCGCTTCGCTTTTATCACACTCAGGTATTGCGGCAATGCATGTTCATGTTGGGATGGTTGTGAATGTCGGTGCTGAAGTTCTGAAGTTGTTTATTCCGCAGCCAGCGACATGTCAACCGCAAAGCCACGCAGAATGCACAGGTGCGGCACGTGTCGGCGATGGTTACGGCCTGCCTCCCGGCGCCAGGTCCACAGAGCCACTCCATCTAGCTGCCGCTGCATGGTCAGGCCAGGAGGAACCTACACGGTGGCTGAAAATGAGAGTCGCGAGCTGTGCGGGCCCAAAGCTTTCTTCTCCGAGACTGCAACATACTGCGACTCAGGGTCAGCATGTCAGCCCTGTCGGCAGTGCTGTAGGTTGGGAATCTGCCTCAAAAGCATCAAGGGAATTGGCAAGGATGTGCAACTGGCAGGTGCCTAAGTTGACCAAGAGGCGTCATTGTCGTAGTGTGTCACACGATGCATCTCTTCGACCTAAGCTTTTCCACGCACCTTGCTGCGGAGACACGTGAGAGTCAAGTCCGACCGGACATGTGTAGATTGTTACATGGCATGAGGCCAACGCCAGCTTCATCTGGAGCACTATGCAATGATTGTTTTCAGGGAGTCATGTCATAGGCCAAGCTGCGCTCGCCTCTGGCATCGCTCGCAGGACGGAGCCCCACTCCAAAGAGCTGAGAACCTAGGGCCAATTTCGACCAGCTTCATCTCCTCAGCTTTCAAGATTCCCCCAAGCTGAGGCTCAAGGTGAAGTTGGAACTGCAGCCAGGACCTCATGAGATTTGCAGACATACGGCCAGTCTGTGGCCTGTGGCAGCTAAGGCAGGAGGTACTTGTCGGGGTGGTTGTGAGACAGACGGTGATTGTCGAGCCCAGCTCTCAAGGAGTCTTCGTGGGCGTGTGCCTATAGCCTATGGCCGTTGGCCCTTCACCGAGGCTGCGAGTGAACAACCTTCAATGCGACGAATGCAAGAAGAGCTACACGAAGCACACCTGGGACAGCTCGGTTCAGGCGCCCTGAATGGCTCCATGGCATTGCTGGTCGGGTGCAGCATGTTGCAGTGCTTCACTGTGTTCTGGCTCGCAACTGTGGGTTGTTCACAGCAAGTACTGTAGGAACATGGAGACGGCCCGAAGGAAGATTGGATTCATCGATGCCCATTTCCACGTATGGGATGTGAGGGACAAGACAACATCCGGACATGACCCGAAGGTTCTTTTTGCACCCAGTGGCACTGAGTTGTTTGACCGGCTGCAGTACGAGAGCGCATGCAGCCTCGGGGAGGATTTCCAGCACGAGGGGGGGGGTTTTCTTGGAGGCTGTGAGTGTGTGCCATCCCGGACTCCGTGGGCCAGCATACTCGTCGCACTGCCTGAGTGAAGCTGCCTTTGCGGCCGCCGAGCTGGTGAATCCGTCGGTGGAGCGGGCTTATGTTTTGGTTCCAACCTGTGCCCTGGAGCAGCCAGATGCCGAAGACGTGCTCACGAAGATGAGCAGCAGCCCTGGCATACGCGGGATTCGACAGATTCTGAACTACCAGCCGGACTGGCCCCGCAACACGGATTTGGGTGACTTGCTCGATGACGCATCGTGGAAGCGCGGATTCGCACTGCTACATAAGTTCAACCTCAGCTTCGACTTGCAACTAAATCCGCACCAGTTTGCAAAGGCGGCTAGGCTGCTGAGTGAGCATCCGGAAATCACGGTCATCATCAACCACCTTGGCAGTCCGCGCTTGCAAGATCTAACAGATGATGCCGAGAAGTATTGGAAAGGAATGAGTGAGCTGGCAAGCTTGCCCAACACCTACATGAAGATCAGCATGCTTTGCTACACCGACTTGAACTGGGATTCGAACAGAACCGTTCTAGACGCAGTCCATCGAATCATCAAGCTATTTGGTCCCGAGCGTTGCTTGTTTGCAACCAATTCCCCGGTGGATTCCAAAGATGGATGGCCTCCCAAGCGGTTGCTGGCTGCGTTCTTAGATCTGGCGAAAGCTTATCCTGAAAGCTCCATTAAAGATCTCTTCAGCGGCAGCGCCAGACGAGCCTATCGTTTCTAAATGCCACGAAGCTGCGAAT